ATATAAAATCATTATAATAACGCATGTAATTAAAAAATAAATAAACCGACTAAACATCAGTCTATTTGTGTATATAATTAAATGTTGCAGAATTAATCTCGAAACAACCTGTATATTTATATATCTACCCATCCTAAAGTACAAATTAGTTTCGAATGATAAACATGAGCATCGTCACAGCCACACACGACACACGCCTGACAATACCTGGCATTGTAAATGCAAGAATCAGCCCAACAACAAGAATGCAAATGCAAACACACAACGGGTGCCATTATACATTTATATAGTTAACGGTAGGAGAGTTCAATTACGAGTTGCGAATTGAATATTTATTGACGTTTTATGCTTCTCTAATATAACACAACACAAAAATGAAAATTCTAAGTACAAAATGATGTCAAAAAATAAATATTTTCTAATTTTTCGTATTAGCAAGTTTCTAAATTGCATCAAATTGATTTTGGAGCCAGTTTTGTTTTTGTTATCCTAGCTCAGTGTTTATTTTCTCTCGCGGATAAAATAGATTCGTGAGAACAGCGTCAAGTGTTGCTCACTTTTCTTCCACGCGTACTTAAAACTTCACAATATTTTCGGAGTGTATACCAATTGAAAAATGATTTCCCATTTTCCATTTCGCGGCTGCTAACAGCGCACCGCCGAGGAAAACTTTGCTTGCACTCCATTAGGGATGAAATCATATAGCTTCAACCACTAACCAAACTAACAAACGCCGCGACTCCCACACAAATAATTCAGAAAACAAGACCCCAAAAATTTTAGAAACATGTTACAAATTACTCAACAAACAAACAATGAAATATTTTATGTACTAAAATTTTTGTCTTCTCTCATCTTTGAGTCATCATAAACAATTCTTATATGTTTGCCGACCGAGTGTAGAATTAGTTTAACAACCTTTTAAGTCTGTTATTTATCTGTCCATTGTGCATTCAACGGAAACGATCATTACATCGGATTACCGCGCTGCATCGTCTGGTGTCATTATTCTTTTTATAAAATCACCAATTGTCGCCTGATACCCGCCATGTTATTTATACAAGCGCGTATCAACAGCATCGACTAATAAACATGCTATCAAAATTATTTACATGCCCCGCCGCCTGAACGCACAACATTCTTGTTTACGTCCTCTCGAAGGCTTCGTTGTTCGCCAGCATAAACACTCACCAGCACATAATTCCACTTCTTATGCTTGAGCACGACCAGAAATAAACCAAACTGATTTGTTGTTACTGCTAATAAATACCACCTACGTGCTCGTCTTGATGCAAGTCGCAATAAATTGATAACATATGGACATGGTGAAGTGCTCTCCTAACTCTGCTAACTATGTTGTCGGTTGTTGGGGTGGGCACGTCGTGAAACTTGATTAGGTGCTAATGAATTGTTGAAATTATTGCGAATTTGATTAAACTGAAGAGTTGTCGATCGACCCTCGTACACCTTCAGCCCCTTAGTGGGAACATACGTCTAAATCCCAGTCAGCCAAACCGAAAGACTCTCTAAATGTGTTTTTTGATTCAATTATACATTGCCGAACGACCGCCGCGTCAACGCCAGGAATTTTAAGTTGAGGGGCCTCGAGGACCGCCATCAATTCTAGTCAGCACACAGAGAGAGGTTTGGAAATCGATGCGAACTACCCCCTTGTATTACTGAAAACTCGACGGCAAGTGCACCACTCTTCGATAAGACGTGTGGAGGAGGCGGGAGGCAGGAAGTTTCCTTCAGTATACACGCACTTTAGTTCTATTAGAAGTATAGAATCTATTCGAAAGGGGAAGAACTACGATTGAGGAAAAAATATTGAATTAGATGTGGTGTATTCTCAGAAATGTGAAACAACATCTTAGCAGCGCTGACTTTAAAAATATTACATGTGTGCCCCCGAACGTGTGTGGGGTCGAAAATTGATTGCGCACGTGACCTTAACGCCCTTTCGTTTAAAATTATCACCCGGCATCTGTGAACGCTAGATGCATTCGAGATATTTAAAATTCAAATATTCAAATCGATGCCCACGGCGTGAACCCCACAGTTTTATCGACGTGTTTCAATCTAGTGTAAACAATCAGCGTTTAAATTTAGTTTCCCAGTTTAAACTTCGTACACTCGGAAAAAGCAATGCAAATTTAGTTTTAGCATTCTAGAGTTAAGGTCGAAGGTTGTTATGAAAATGAATGTTTTTGTTTCAACTCGACGGCGACGCAGCGCTCCATCATCGTGCACCATAATTGTTATCGCCGCGTTAATGCTCCGCGCTTCCCTCGTACGCGGGGGTGTAGTTCGAGCGAAAGTTCCCAATTCTTAGTTCTTCGCCAACCTCGGAGTCGCAGTCGTCATGTCGTAAAGTTATCCGCAGTAATTATTCAAGTGGCTTGTGTCTTTCGTACCTCCTTCCGAGGCGTACGTGTATGCGTCTGGGCCGAATGTTTATACAAAGCCGCGGATTGCCAGCGCTCGCGTCGTGGGGGCGGCGCGGTCGAGAAAGTCTTGGAAGCCGCGTTCGGAACTTTTCCCATTAATTACGAATCTCGAGGAGTTTGCGTTCGCCACCACCGCCAGGCGTGCAGGCGCGCATTTTAACGACGGCGACAAACACGCCGAGCACTAATTTCACTAATTTTTTGCCGTTTTAGTTTTTTTCTTCTCCTACTTCTTCGGTCTTGCTTGAAACGCGGCACAGTTTAGCGGTGCGCATTTAAAGTCCGGCAATAAAATGAGTACACGTTATGAAGCCACCGCGCAAAACTTCGTAATTAATATCATAATTAATAACACAACTACCTTCGTCGACCATAAATTAAATTATAAATTTCAGGCTGAGCGAGAATTAACGGAGCGGAAAGATAGCGCAAAAGGTTGGAATCACCCATAGTCTTAACAGAAAATAAGAAAAGTCAAAGAATTGTAAAAAATGGAAGCAAATTTCATATGCCATTATCTTTTAAATAAAGACATTCGTTCTCCTGCAAGGAGGGCGCCTTCCTCGTTTACCCTCCCGTGGCTTCCATTGCATATGTAGATTTATTTTCGACGCGTTGATAAAACATCAAGATTAGTCACAGTCTGAAGACATTGAGTAATCCGCCAAACTATTCATTGTTGTAAAAAAAATAAATTAACTTTATTTTATAAAATCACGATTGTAATATATTATTATTTTTTATTTAAGATTTATGTTTCCCGTTGCGCAAAAAACAACAAACCAAACTTTTTATATACAACATCCAACAAATTCGGACTTTCCGAATGTTTGTTATTTTTTGGTCTTCTTAACGTTAGATTATCCCCGGTATGGAATAGTTTTTGCCGTGCAGCTTTTGTGTGGATGCAGGATGTGTTTTGTAGCTGCTTTGTGCGCTCATTTAAGGGGTTGAAGCACGCAGCCAAATAGTTATACGCAAGACTGAAGCCAAGGGCATTTTGTCTTAGCTCCAGTTTCCTGCAGTGCGGAGACCAGACATCGGGGAACTTTGCCAATTCATCTCTCTTAGCGCATAAGAAGAAGCTGCTTCCTTTCGCGACGTTGTTTCGCCGGCGCTGCGGAGACACTTTGCGTACAAAATGTCTTCCGAGCAGCCCCCGACTTGTTACTACCCGGCGCGCTGGCGGCTTTCGTGAGTGGCTTTTCTTCGATGCGATATGTTTGCATTAGGTTACCACCCTAATGCAAACTGCTTGCCGGAATCCTGCATTAGGAAATTTATAGCTCTGTCTTATATAAAGCGAGATATTTTGTAAACTTGTAAACCAACAGAAACTCAAAATAAACATACAAAGCAATTTCGAGTTTTACGATTGCAGAAAATTGTGAAAGTAATTGCAATTTGAGAGTCCCCATGCAGCCGCAAACACGTTGATTACAAATAATTAAAAATTACACCAGCGCGCGCAATTAAAACAGCGTCATGTGTGGTTTCTTTGATTCGGGCGTTAGACTTGGAGCGCGTTTCTTTTATACACGCGCACAAAATAAAACTATCCTTTGTGCGCGCCCACGCCATGTACGACACGACCACTTCGCGATGAAGGACTCGCACTCACATGCACGGACGCCACCACCGTCGCCGCCAACGCGCATCCCTCGGCACTCGAAAGTTGAAAACACGTCGCAAAACAGACGCCCCACATCCACGTCGAGTATGCGCGCAACTGCAAATAGTGTAGGCGTCAAAGGTGTGAGACTGCCACCGATATGAATCCATCCAGAGCGCGGTAACATTTTAATTTAATTTCTCGCCTTGACGCGCTCGCTGTGTCATTATGCGCGAAAGGGCGACACACACGTCGCATTAAGTCCGTGCGATGTAAGAAGATCAGTTCGTCGAGTGCTCGAGGGTCCAATTAGTGCTGAAACCATGCGGCCGATACTACTCACGTCAACGTAAATGAATTTAACAAAAAAGATTCTAAAAATGTATAATTTTTGGTATAAGTCTAAAATAAAATAATATAGTTGTAGTTACGAGTATATCCAATAGAGGACCTTGTAAACTAAAAGTTAAACTATAAGCGCTGAGTGCTGCTCGCCCCCAATATATTTTAATTGAATATTTCGTGCGGTTTGCACTGATGCCCGAAGCCAAAGACTGCGAATATGAAGCGTAAGGATGACAACATGAGCGTGTCGGCGTAATCCGCGCATTGTCCGGCGAGCACCGCACTCGGCCGCTTCCGCATCGGGTCCACTATAAATGTCCATTCGAGAGAGTGCGGTCTAGTCCGAAATATATCCGGTTCTATAACGTATATTAACGGACAAGAACGAATGTTGCATACGGTGCACGGCCTATTGTGTTTAGATTACTCTCTCTAGGCGTACATCGTCCAGCCCTAATCCTCGTCCTTCAAATATTGCGTTATAAGCTCGACAAAAACCAACACAGGCGTATAAGCCACAAATTATCAAATTCGCAATTAATTACTATTTATCAATCAAATATTGCGCAGAAATGTCAAAAAATAAAACTCACTTTGGTGTAGCGTGGGTGCTGTGCGTCATTGAACGTCGCTTGAATCTGCAACAAGAATTTAATAAATTATCACATTAATGAGTAAGCAAAAGCAAATATGCAATATAATCGTATTAAATTAAGCAGGAAATTTAAAAATGATGAAGCACCGAGTCGCGGCCGGAATCGCATTAGCGCCAGCGTCGGAGCGCATATTGGCGTTAATAATTGTTTTATCGTCTAGAAATTATGTAATAAAAGTGCATGAGCCGTGTGTAATGCTTGCGCGCACCGAGAGCGTGCGAATTAAATAAGGGGGAGTGCGAAGATTCATGACGCCCCCGCCTTGCACGGTAATCCGGCAAGGGACGCTGACGCGTTGTTGATTCTGCTGATGTTGGCAATAAATATCGAGCCGAGATTCACAATATCAAAAACAAATTACTCGCAAATTGGATTAATATAGGTACTGCAATTGACGTATTTCTAATCGCCTTCCGAGTCCGGCAAAATAATCATCATACGAGATTTTTATTTTTGCGCCTGCTCTCGGAAATTTTTCATCATCTAAGAAAGCGAAGAACGATATTTCATGCGCCAGTCATCGTGCCGGTTCAGTTTGCGTATTTGTGTGTTTGGCGCTGTGTCGAAGTGAAGTCTACGAGGAACGCGCGAATTCGTGGAAGTCGTCGCATTCTCCAGGTGTCACCGTGACTGATGACCCCCTGCGTCACTTCCTCTTATAAATGGTCCTCGGCGCTGCGCCTTCGCCACCGACACCTTCGCAGCGCGCAGAATTAGTGCTGAAAGTGCGAATGAAAAGACGAAAAAGAAGCGAGGCACCATCGCACCGCACAGCACCGACGACATAAAATACACAACGCAAACGTTGTGCGCTTGTGTGTGCACGGGGGCACCTCGCCAGCGAGCTGAATGAAAAGGTTCCATTCATATAAAATGTCACCTGAGGAATGCGTCTTGTTGTGCGTTTGTCGTTCTGGGACGGAAACCCAGCGAGCTGCACCACATATCTGCCGTGTAGGTAGACCAACTACGTACATACGTACCTTACATTTGAAATAAATGTGTTTCCAATTGTGTCGGATATGACACTGCAATCCACAGCATGACACGCATCATTTTTGAATCGACTGTAATTAATTACAAATCACTTTTCGGCTAGCAAATCATATCAAGTAAAAAAAAAACACCAATAACCAAGTGTTGGTAAAGTAATTAATCAGCTTTCCTCTCTGCCAGCTTCGATGGGCTTGATATTTCGTTAGCATTTGCGGTGTGTTTGTTCACGTTCCAGTGGAATCTTGTATAGCATGTCGCAATGATTTTTACAGGCAAAGTCAGTGACCGATGGCAGTAATACTCGTAATGGATGGAAGCAGCAAGATCTTTTGCGGAAAGGGGTCCGCCAAGTTCGAATTGAAAACGTTGTGTACCCGACCCCTACATACGCAGTATTAAAAGTGGTGCTCGGTTCCGCTCGCCTTTGCCCGTGAGTGATATTTGTGGCGACTTTGACAGTGCCCTCCGCTCGCGAATGGACTTTACTGACTTTACTTTTTGGACGCACATGGGTCCTCCGAGAGACCTCGGCACCCTTCTTATTAAAGACGAAAAGGTCTCTCAAAATGTCAATCTTTTAATTAGTCGCTGTTAATATTATGCATTCTGATAACGCATAAAAACATATTTAATTTCAATTCTCATTAAAATGAATAGTTCTTTTTTGTAGTAATAAATTTTTATAGAAAATAACGTTTAAGGTGTCAAGTTGTACACATTAATGGTTTTCGCCTTGTCACAATTTTACGAGCGTCTGTGCGTCGTGAAAAGTGCGTTTCATTCCGTCATTTCGCAATTCATATGCTTCACGCTAAGGTGGGACCATTAGTGTTTTGCAGGTAAGTGTACGTCAGCCGAATGGGTGACATATATCCTCGGATGGGGTGACAACCCCATGGGGCGCTTGGCACGGGCTGTCTTGCTATTGTGCGGTGCGCTCGCTCCGGGTGGAGAGTTCAGGTACGCGCCCAACTCGGAACACCTGGACGCTCGGCTTCTTTATTCCTAACGCGCATCGTTTCGTTACGTATGTCAAGGCACACACATTGGCGACATTTTTTGCCGGCCGGTCGAATCAATGCGAGCACACCCGCGCATCTACCAGCTCGCTTACGCTTCGTCACACATTTCGACTAACACCTGGTGTGCTGTACCGGCGGTGTTTTATGGCTGTTTGTTTTTGCTCAGAATTCCTCAGATTTGCAATTTCGTCGTTTGACAGCTCGCCTTAAAAATCGAAAATTAAACGTATTGTTCCCGGTAGTAGCTAATAAAACAACTTTTTAATGGTGGGTCTTTGTCCAAGACTGCAAAACAACTTTTTAATGGTGGGTCTTTGTCCAAGACTGCAAAAGAAGCGAAAAGAAACAGGAAACTGAAAATTTAGCTGATAAAATAATATAGACATTTTTCGCACTTTAAACTAATCTGACCTTGAAATATCCACTATGCTAATGATTAATTTTTCAATTATAAATATTACGACCCTATTTGATTATACAAAATAGTACGTAGGTACCTAAGTAGTACCTATAATATTGACCATAAATTAATTATTAATCAAAAGGATGGTTTACTAAAGATTTATAAGAACACAGAAGGGTCACGAGATGCCTCGCTTGAATTACGAACGCTCCACCAGCTGGCCGGCCTTTATGCGATGGCATGTAGCAAAATCAATATGAAAACGGCGCGGCGCGAACTAGCGTCGCTGCCCGGAACCTCCGCCATTGTTACTGTACCAACTCCAACACGCCACCGCCGATCAGCCTTAGGTTTAGGTGTTGGTGTAATATTCACGCCGTGGACGACGACGCCGTCACCGCGTCACCGTCTGCCACGAGGACTCGGAGTCGATATCGATTTCGGATATTTCGCGACTCGATGGATTTTCTGTCTCGTCCGTGGTGCGCGAGGCGAGCCCGCGCGCACTGCTATTATATCAACATAACAATGAAGGCGAGTTTTACAAAAGCGAACTGAATTCAAGTGCATCATTGTTTGGCCGACTCGGAATTGTCGTGCTCGTTCGCATCTCCAGTACGTAGTACACCACGTTCGCGTAGTAAAGAGCAACAGTTGTTAGAATATCAAGGTTTTGTTGTACATTTCTTTCGCGGACGCAAATTTTGTAACCACATTTAAATACGTTGACTTTTATGCAACAAGCATCAACAATAAATATAAAAATGCAATTCACGGCAATAAAATGCAATGAGAGGTCGTTAAAAAATAAACGATACGGATATTTTGTTGGTTTCGCTCGTTTTGAGCATAGCGTGCGTCGAAGAAAACACGCCAGCCATTAAACCGCTGCCATTGGATAAGAGAACAGCATCGGCGTATAAACATTGGGAACGTCGAACGCGTGTGCTGGCGGCAACGGTGGCGGCGCGCGGCGGCATGCGGCATTGCCGCCGCCGATGAGGTGTAGCGCGAGTGCGCATGCGTCGTAACGATCCAGTGGGAGCGGACAAAAGATTTCGCGTCACTAGCAACGCACACATGCCCGCGCCCGATCCTGCAAATCCGTGCGCGGCGCATGAACGGCGGCAGTGGCGGCGGCGCATCCACGTCGGCGTCGCGAGTCGATGAAGAAAATTTACAAACGCGCGCGTAGTGGTGGGATGCTCCCGGCGGAGAGCGCGCTCCTGCATCGAAAGAGAAATTGAATGCGCCCGTCGACGGCCCACATAATGGAGGAAACCCCAGCTATGCAAATATGTTTACGATTGCGTGACGTAACGACTATTGTTAACATATCATTGATTGTTAAGTTCATGACCTGCACTACTACCACACAAAACGCTGCGGCGCGCCAGCGGCACAATGAGCAAACGCAAAGCGTGCTTCAAGAGTTTCGCTCTTTGGAGAGGATCCGAACGCGTGCTACTAATCATCACTTCGCGGAACAATGATTTTACAAACTTTAGAATGTTTCCAACTGACAATTCTCCTCTAATTATCCACACTCTAATATTTACCAATAATATTGAGACAATAAGTTTATATTGATATTTAATATAATTCATAAAAAATTCATCTTTTGTGCCAGAATCAAATAAACAATTTTCTTATTTTCAATTCTGTGGAATTTAATTTAGAAACACCTATTGAAAAATCATAGTTTCGATAAATTAATTCTCAAGTAAACATTTTTTAAATATTGTTTAATTGTTTTTTATTTGAAGAAAAGCCATTTAGCCAATGACGAAATGTGCATTACGCAATTGCGTGCCAAAACGCATTAAATCACGTGTTACGTTTGATACAAATCTTTATTATTTATTTCATCAAGCACACCAGCAACACCTCCACACTGTATAGATAAGTAGAATCGTAGCGCTCGCAAACGTACTTACTTACTCTCGCCACTTTAATGCGAAATAAACATTTAGTTTGCCCGTTCGTTCGTGCGCCTTTTGTGCCTCGTAACGAGCGCGAATGCACGAAAGATTCGCCCGCCGCCACTATCCGTCCGCCTATATGCCGATGGCGTGCCTTCGCCCTTATGAAAGCGCCACACCGTCGCTAATCGCGATTTGACATGCCACGACATGCTGCATCCACAACGCACGTAATGCCACGACACTAAATTCATAACGCATCGCGTCGTAACGCAGCGTTATATTGAAATTTTGCAAGGCGGCAGATCGCCATCATCGTGTACGTATAAAATAACTAAATGAAACACAGCGGCGGTTTTAAGTGGCGGTATTATGAGCGATGGCCGTTGCATGTGCGTCCGGGCAGCCGCCGAGCATGTACCCCATCATCGCGCTTTGATATTCATTACAGGCAATTTCCACCCTCGACTAACAACAATCATCGCGGTAATAAATTCACATGCAGTACAAGCGGCCGACATCGCCGCCGCCACCGCCGCCTGAGCGCACTGTCTTTCGGCGCCCGCTCTTCATCCGCGTCGTCATGAATTTATGCGAAGTATGTAGATGAATGATGCGTTTTGTTGGGTTATATATTACGTCATAATTATTATTACGCCATGCACAAACGCGGCGCGGTGTGCTCGCGAACGGGGTTGTGTCATGTCGGGAGGCTGCAAAAGGGGGGAACGCACGCAGCCGAGCACGCAGTTGACGCAGTCATGTCGTTCCTTCGTGAAGATAATGTTAATTGATGAATTTTTAATGCAAGGGTTTAACTCTACCCCCAAACATTACTTTACAATATTTTAATAAAAAAATAAAAATAAACGGTTCGGTGAAATCTACAAAACTTTCTTATAAAGACCAGTTTTTTTAATATTCAAGTCATTAACTGTTGTTTTAGCCTTGGGTACAAAAATCAGATTGAATGTTTGATCATGCAATTAATAAATAAATAAGTAAAGACAGTGTGTACCTGCATTTTGTCATTTTCTTATATATGTAAGCAAAAAATTATAAATAGGTACCGTAAACTACGTGATAATATCTTAAATTTAATAAAAAGAGTAGACACCTAGCAGATTGAACCTGCAGAAAATCATGCAGTGGCATGATCTTGCCCATGGCATCCACCCATCAAGCGTTGTTGGCGATTTTAATTTTTTCCTATTCGCCGGTTTGCGCTCGGTGTTTTTACATCATTTTTCTCGACGCGGGCATTTGTATTTTGCTGTGTAGTACAGCGGCGCGCTGTGTTGAACGCTGAATTTTTTATTTCCGCCGAGGTCGTAAATCAAAGAGTCATTAGCTATTAAAAAGGGTATAGGTCCCTCACTGCGGAGTGTAGACACGTTCATTTGTCTAAACAAAGAGCCAACGCTCCGGCCCGGGGTACATTAATCAGCGCAAGACTGTTCGGGTTCGCAGTTCAATGAAGGCCCCCCCAACACACGCTCGCGCACCCACACCCACACCGGCTCGACTCGGTGTACAGATATATACACGACGAACGGAAGCTACAACAGCAACACCCAAACCTGGGTTCGACCGCGCCGACCGAAACGCACCAATGGCAGGAGGAGCAGGAGGACTTACACATCCCTCATGGTCTTATGCTCTTATGGCAATGCCTCTTGTGTAGGAGAAGCGCGTCCTGCTTGTCTGCGAATGTGTGGGAGGTTGTTGGTGTTATGTAGAATCCGAGAGCAACCAACATGCCTCGTCCATGTAGGTATTTAATTAATATTGCTGATAGTTTAATTTATTACCATTTTCTTACTGAGATTTATGCAATCACTACTACTTGTTATAATTTAATATACAATCAGATCAGATCACTGTTTAAAAGAAAACTGTATTTTACGGTTAAAACATTTCGCGGTAATATTTATTTGGGAACGCTGCGAAGAATGCTTGTTAACTTAGTTGCAAACAAAATTTCATTTGATATCAGTACACGTAGCGCCATCTACCGGTGGAGCGTCAACCTATTCAAGCGTTGATGTTGAGTGAACGAAAGAGTAGCGTCGGTGTCGAGGTCGGTACAAAATTACAGGTTTCTTCTACATATTTACCAACCTAGTCATATTACATATTTTAGGCTATTTTACGTTTAATAATCAATATGCTTTATTATGTTAATATTAATGTTAAAATAAGTATTGTTATTTTCCTAAATTGTTGAAAATAGTTCTTATTTACAATTATGAATTTTATCCTGTTGTTACAGTACAGAAGCGCCCCCTATGTGTAGCGTTACAAACTTGCAGCATCGGAAAATATAGGAGCTCGTTCAAAATTTCTACGTTCCATGTAATTATTGCAACGTTTAAAACGCATTCTTTTCGCATGAGAGTTGTATAAACCCACTTACGAATTTCAGTATTCTAAATAAGAAACAACAACAAGTAAGTGCATCAAAAACAAGATATTCATTTATGCAGTCGCGCCAGACAGCCTGTTGCTCAGCACCTTTGCCACCACAATATTCAAGGCAACACACGTGTTGCTCCCACTCGCAACGTTGTCAATAATTTCCCTCGTAACCAAAACAATACTCGACATACCATTTCGATACGCGATAGAGGCGCACAGCATTGACCATACGCACGCTATCAGCGTCGATTCTCTCGCGGTGATAGTTTGCCCACCGATAGTGCGCAGCGTGAATCTATTTTTATCCGGCTGCGAACGGAACACTGGCAACGTCTCACAAAGTCGTGCACGGCCGTGTTTCTCGAGACGCCCTTGGGAACGTTGCTGGTCGCGCAGTGCATTGGATTTCGGCGTAGTTGCGCGTTCCCTCCAAGAAACTAGAAGACGACCGCACTGCATGTCGCTGTCTTCTATGCCGTCCGAACTAATTTAATTCCGCCGACTCGAGTATCGAGCTGCTACTCGTCGTCAGGAGCATACGGAAACCGTAAGTAAACGCAAATTCTTACTTGAAGACGATGCTTGTAATCTAATCCCATGCATTCCAATTCGCTTGCACATACGAGTACTGTTCACCTCATAACACACGTTGGACGTTTTGACATGCTTTTTACCTATGAAAACAACATTTTTACGCATTCGTATTTGTGCGCAATATTGTCGGGTGATCGTTCAAGTGACAAAAATCGGCGCATATTCAAGTGCGCGGAGCGTCCGTAAATCGTAAATGTAAGTACTTAGAAAGTACCGTAATTAACGTAACGCGCAGAGGGACGCAAATAGGCAAACAGGCGACGACATAACGCACTGCATAAATTATGCTAACCTACATTCATACATTTCGGACGGTGCGTTCGACTGTGTTTATAACTTGTTATAGTTAACAAATTTTATAATTTATAACTATACATTTATACAGTTTTGGCCGCGGTGATTTGCTTCGCTTTACCATGGCACACTTAAAAAAACGAGTTCATATCATTGCTTGTATCAAAACAACAACAAGCGCTATCCGAAGCGCTAAAGTGTTCATTTTGCAAATGGCGTACTCGCGAACTTATCAATGATGTCATTATTCAAGTATAAATAAATTCGTTGATTTAGGTAAAGTATAAATGTTTATTTTACGGTTTATCTTATCTGAATGCTTGTTTGTGCGATTATAAGGTTGCGGTTACTGCACAGTGCACGCATAATATCGCGGAAAAAGATAAATCATACAGGTCTATTGAGATAAGCGTTTTCGTGCTTTGATTTTTAAAATGTGCCTATGTACATATTTTGTACCTACAAGATATTGCAATAAAAATAAACGCTTCAAACCACATTATTATCTGCTTATCACTTGTGGTGTATGGTATTATTAGCCTGTGTTTAGTTTAATTTTGTTTTTGTTGCCAGTGAGTTCAAAAGTGATTGCTCGTTGCTGTGACGATCGGAATCGTCTCTGCACGCCGCCATTGTGCCCATTGCTGCGCGGGAAAATGACTATAACCGTAGCGATGGCCCTCTCTGGCTTGGAACCGGAGCAATGGAACGACGGCCTCAAGGAGATCTATATGCAGGGAGCGATTTTGTTTCCGAAGAGCCCCAGCTCACTATCGCTAGCATCTTCGGGCGCATCGTCGTACTACTCACTTGAGAGTGGGATCTCTTCCATGTCACCAGACTCAGCCTCATACAACCAGTTCCTTCTCAACGATCTCGATGTTCTTGGCTTGGATGGCATTATTCAGGTGCAGGATATAAATGACGACAACATACATAATGTAAGTGATAATAGTGTTATCGAAAATTGGGTTATTATAGAGAAACATATCATTTCAGACTCCACGTGACGACGTAACGAAACTGGGTGAGAAGCCCGCGTGCGAAACTACACTCGAAGAGAGCAACAACGAATACGCATCACCATCATCCCGAGCACTGAACGAACAACAGCACCAAGAGGATTTGATCGCTTCGATCGAAGCACTCGCCGAAGAAGACAGCACCCCCAAAATAAAACCCAATAAGGTGTACTCGCAGGTAATGTACGGCAAACGCAACGTGTTGAATCTCGCCGCCAACATCAGCTTCGGGGGCTGGCAGTACCAACCCGCCGCCCTGCCAGACAGCATCAACCGATTCTACTTTGAAAACCGATCTCAGTATTCGCGCTTGCAGGATGCGTTCCCCCCGAAGCATACCAAAATGACGTGCAGAGATAAAGACTGCGGCTTCGTCGAGACGAGTTACTTTTAACACGCTTGACGACATTTTCCACACGCGAGAATGCTAAACCAAATACACACCAAAACGACCAGGGCGATTAGAGTTGTCAAAAAATTATAGACGAGGCGCAACGTGTTTTTTAGATTATTGCGACAAAACGGCTTGAACACGATGTCACAGCGCGTTGCTTTCAACATTATTAGGTAAACCCCCGCGACTAGCGATGTACAGCGCTGCGTATTGCACAATCATTAAACAAACGCAGCGTTTCAACCATCGTCGCCAGCGTGAAACAAAATTATTCGACAGATCTTTCTACATGTTACAAACTTTGTGATAAGAGGCAATATTTTTTTATTAATATATCAATAACTTAACTACCTAACGTAAACTTTGTTAATACGAATTTTGCCAAGTTTTTGAATATTGGCATAATGATAACGATACGCGTCCGAAGCGATTTGAGAAATATTATAGATTTGAATGCAATAATGAAGTATCGTCATTACGCGCTTAAGTTCGTAAAGGTGGTGTTCGATTCATTCTTGTTTTAAATACTAGTCTGCATTTTATTGACACTCTTGACACAAATTAATCTTTATTTACGTGCACATAAGAATGCCTGATCATTATGAAGGTGAAGACGAGTAAATTTTAAAAAACCAAAACCAATTTTAGATTTGCCAAATAAAATTTTAGAGTAATATTTTTCGATCAACGTATATATTCATTAAAATCGTAGAGAAAATCTCATTGTTTCATCAAAAATTTTCTACAACTTATTGATCTTAACGATGATAATTTTTATTGAGATTGAACTGATTCAAGAGTACTAATCATAGCGTAATAAAAACGTCCTGATGAAAATAATTGCCAAATCAAGATTGACATATTTATTGGATATAATAATTGTTGTCGGTTCGTTATCAACCGTTTTTGCGTTGATAGCATATTATAGTAGTTTAGTACAAATTGTACCTTACCTCATTTTAGAGTGAATACTGTTTCTGTTCATTATTATAAAATATAAAAGCAATTGTTCCTACACCGCATTAAACGCTATCGGAAGCGATGTGAAAATTATAATGACTGTTGAAATTCTTCCATGTTGGGAACGTTGCGAGTCGATTACGTTAATGGAGTAATTTATTTCGATGGATTTCTACATAGATTATATAGAATATCTAGCATAAGTTGTCATTGAGTTACCTACATTCGTTCACGTACGTGAATTGCGCTAATCATTTAACACACACATACACGTAAAACGTAGCTCTAGTATTAATACGAACAAGAACAATTAAGTCGGAATTGAAAACAGAAATTAATTGAGTTATAATATAAAGTAAATATAAATTCATCGATTGAGTAATGATTGAAACGCAACAAATCGCTATTTAAGTTCTTTTTGTGATTAATTATTTGTGATAACTTGTTGTTTTATTTGTTTTTATAATAGTAGTTAATTTTTTGTGTTTTCTTAAGTAACGAATATCACTTCCATATTGTTTCACTGACTTCAATCAATTAATCAATCAAAATTGTTCATGTTAGGCTCAAATCAACCGAATCTGTAATGAGAAATCTATAAATTCGCTGAGTATTGAAGTGCCTTAATAATAGTCGTGGTAATAACGAAATGAAATTTTATATTTTATACGCCTAGTCTTACAGCTCTTATCAGATAAGCTGATAACGATGATAAACTGATGTAATAATGTTTTGTTCCAATCGCAAATATGAAGTTGTACTTATCTTTAGTTCTATTTTGAATCTTACTATGTTAATGTAAAATGTAAGAAAACACCATACTTAATTTTTTAATGTGTCAAACCAAAAGTGATTTATCGTCTGTATTAGAAAAGCTAATGTGAAATTATTTATAAATTCCTTTAACAATAGTTAAACAAACCGTCAATGAACAATCGAATTTTCTGTTTGGATAATTCAGATAATATAAGAATGACAATATGAAATTTATTAATTCCATTTTTTATAAATTATGTCACGAATGAATAAGTTCTTGTTTTTTTAACTGTAAGTTACGTTTCTTTTCATCCTTATTTTTCCAATATTCAAAATATAATTATAATTACTTGTAATAGTTTCATACTATTTGTAGGCATTATTATGTTTGTTATTATGCGTTAGTATTTTTGGCAACCTGTTTGTGCATTGAAATGGTTTGAACATACACTGTAGATGTATATTGGTTATATGGTGGGGGAGTGACTTGATCGAGTGCGCTTAAAATGTTAAGCGACAAGCAAAAAAATGTATTGAATTCATTGATGGTCAGGTATCATACGAAGTAAGACTGCGGCAGTGATTATTGCCGAAACTGTTGGTACATTTATGTTTGAAACGACGATATATATATATATATACATAGATAATAAACTTTTCTTGTTATATTGAGCTGTGATGTTTTATTGATTTGAAGAGCCTTAAAAATTGGCCAATTATGGATGTGATTGCTTAATCACTTAATTAATTGAATTATATCGATGCTACTAATCTAATATGACATAATTAAATACTTATTTGATAAGAATCATTCGTTTTTTCTGAATTGTTTTGCGAAAATTCACGTATGCACATTCCTACTATATCGATCAATTATGAAGTTGTGTTATAAATATACACACTGATTTACCAAAAATTTGCTGTTGGGCGCGACTTATTTCTCGTAGTATTTAGTAAAAATGTTTTCTTGTTCGAGACCTAGTATGAATCGATTCCATCAATGAGATTCGCAATTTTATTTAAAATATGAATTGATAATAATGCATTTTGGGCTATCTCGGATGTAATTATTTAAATATAATTAGGATTGAATTTCTATACCAATTTTTATCCCTTATTTCATACTCTATAAGTTATAATTCTCAATAGTTTAATAGTATTGTGCTATTCGGTGCGGAGAGGAATCCAACAAAACATTGCTTATCAAAATCTGTACAACCACTCTTGAGCAATAAATGCTGTATAAATTCACGTCACGACAGCAACACAGTAATATTTGTGAGTATATCAATTTGGATATAATTCAATTTTTGTTTTATCTATGTTAAATCTATGTTTACAACAATAAATCCTATGGAGGGCTTTTATTGTTGACGAATAGAATAAAGCCCTTCCATATCCACGTCATAGAGTCCTTTCAGAAGTCACTAATCATTCCTTTGGCAATTGATACTTTACGTCTTCAGTATATAATAATAAATCGCATGCTTCCACCCCATATCTATTCATATCTATTACGTAGTCCACGTGTTCGGCAGCGCACACCGAAAAGCGGCCGCCAACCACCGTCGCCACAGCCGCCTCCCGCCAACGCACCCGCCCGCGCCCTTTCTTTTGTTGTCATTATCAGCATAAATCCTGCGCGGGCCCTTTCATAAAACTATTACGACAATCCGCATACATTTACCCCATCACATCCCAACAAAAGAACAATATCGGTGGGGTGGATTATTACATATTTCACGCGTAATAAAACCCGCTACACGGCCACACACTTGCTTCATCCTGCAGTCAGTCTTCTTTCACATGCACTCACACGCTCTTTATAGGCATGTTGACAGCACGGCCAAAAAACAAGGTGTTTAATCAAATTTTGAATTTTTAAACAATGCAAATTTTATCTAAAAATATTTACTAAAAACAAACATTTACACATTTATGTATTATTTTAGTAAATTAATTCTATTTAAACTGTTTGTGCCTTGTTGCGTTGTTACTATTTGCATTTAGAGAGTGTGTGGTCGTTGTTAGCCAGTGAGTATAATATACACAAAAGACAAAGCGAAAGAATGCTATACTATGGATGTACACATAGCATTTGCTGCAAAAAAGGCCGAATAAAAACCTTTCCGCCAACAAAGCGCGCAGACAAAAGGCAAGACCGCGTACGTGCACAATAGAAACAAAAAACTTATTGTTAACCCGCGCGCTAGTGCACGAACGCGCTCGCGAGGCATTATCGGCGAAGACAACGGCGACGACAATCAAACGACGAGCGCATCAACAATCCAATGAGAGAGCTAAACAATCAAACCAACGCCACAAAACAAAAGATTGCCACAAAACCCAAAACAAAATGAAGAATTCTCCAACAATCAGGACTCAAAATCATCGACGCACCTACCGTCACTTATTATCGATAATAGGAACTACAAAATAACGTATTGAGTTCCAGCACGCTTCCGCATGCTGTCGCTAAAGTCACTGGGCAGCCATTACGATATTTTTAAAAACACTAAACGATTTGTTTATGCATAGAACTATTGCTATGCTCGTTTTATTTTCCGCATTATGCTTGCAACATTAGAGAAAACAATAAAAAGTTTTCCGTGCGCGTTCGCGGGCGGACGTGCCGCCATTGTCTTTGGTCTCTCAATACAATATTCGCAATATAATAGTGGAGTGGAAGTGGAAAATAGAATAGAACCAGCGAGAGCATGCATCAGCATTAGAGCCGGGCCGACCGCGAGACGCGCGGAAGGCGGTGCAGGCGCGGGGGCGGTCGCGAGGAGCGGGGACGCACGGAACTGCGACGTGAGGCAGGAGCGGCGATGGAACGACGACGACGACTGAACGATGAGTATCTATACAGATGGGTTTTCATTTGATTATGAACAATGGAAGGCGAACAATGGTTGTAAGGATGCACCCCCAGCGCAGCGCTAGACAAGTACACATTTAAGGACAAAAGCACGAGACAATTGTATCTTAAACAGAAGAAAGTTCCGAAGTTTTCGCAAAGGAAAAATGCGTCGACACACGGTTCCCTATAGATATATTCCGATGGATACTTTTGAAGGGGTGCTCTTTATTTTTTACACGACTATTCACTGGAATCGATGCTAAAATTCGAAGTCGATGAAAAGTGTAAGTAGAAAAAGTCGAAGATAAATGATATTAACCTTGATTTCCAACTTTGATTCGCACAGGACGAGGAGCTTTTATTGTGCTTGTGCTTAATTCCACTTTAGGCTCGGAGAAGTCGTTTCGTAGCGGCACGTCCACAATGCATTACGCCATGTATCCTTTCGATTCCATTTCGTATTAAGAGCCACCGCCTTTTATTTACATTGCGATTACTGTATAATTCAACGCGGCTTTCTTTTCATCACGTTCGGAACGATGTTTCGCTGTCTCCTTGCTTAATCCATTTCCTATTATTGTCGATCAAGAGCCGTAAATATATATCACAGCTTTATTGTTACTTTTTCGTGCTTTGCAAAACGAGAAATGATAAAGCAAAGCGAAAACAAAAGGAGAAAAGAAAATAAGAGCTTAAAAACTTTAAACTTGGGAATGTTTAACATTGAACCAGTAGGTAATTATATATTGAATTACATACTTTTAATCAACATCGGTGGTTTTAACTTGGTTTTAATCAACCAAGGATATAAATCTTAAATGATAATATAAGTGCAAATGTGCGTTTTGTGTGATTTTGATAAATTTTGATAAAATAATGTTTTTGATGCTTTTTGTCGCAAAACTATAACTTGCAGAGTATAAGATAAGGGGTAAAAGTTTAGTACCTAGTATAAATTCAATCATAATTATAGTTTCTGTATATTATTCAAATCGAGATGGCGCTGACATGCATTATTAACATTTATCATTTTTTAAAATTAAAATTAGGAATTTTATCCAACACATAAAATGTCAGCAGCTAAATATTAATTAGTTATTAATTGAAATAGATAAATCAAAAACACTTGATAGACAAAACTTGAATCACAATTAATAATTTTTGGATACTGTCATAATATTATGCAATACCTATTATGCAATCACGAAGTATAGATATAAGGAGTCCGAACGGTATAGGCTTTTTTGTCGTAGTCAAGTATCTATACTTGTTATAGATATACGTGTTATGCAATGACTAATTTTGATTGTTAAATTATTATCTGGCAGTTTCAATAAATAAAATTTAACTAAATACCTACATACACCATCGAATGCATTAAGTTTTGTACATTTTTGAAATATACCTATATGTGATTGAAACTAAACCCTATTCATCTCAACCTTCGATCATCAATATAAAAGCCGAAATTAACACAAATTTCCAGGCGACATTTGTCCCGGCCCGTCTGCCTTCCGTATTGTCATCCTTCCTCGGCTGACATAATCACTCGGCGTTTGTATGAATTCGTGTGCATGCACCACAAGCGATGCGAAAACAATGGAAATTGCGGTCGGCGTCGGTGATTGCTGGGCGGCTGCGGTGGCGGCGGCGGCGACGGCCGCCACTGCACCACCAAAACGCGTCCGCCGAGAAAGAGAGGAAACACCCTTTCATCACCAAGGAGATATGATGGTATTGTTTAGGCAAACAATGGGCAACTTTTGTTGTCAATGTGGTGACATGCAAAGAAGTCATTTCGGCATGCTCGCTCGTTCGACGAGCGCGGGCGAACGAATTGAATGACTGTTCGACGCTCGAGAGAGGCTTCCATTTTCGGTGCGCATCGAAAATATGCCACTGCGATCCTTTGCTCTCGCACTAAAGAAGCAAGGGTGGCGCACGTCGAACAATGACTATGTCGATACACGGACAGGACAATAGTGCAAGCGTGGAATGTGTTGAAGATGCGCATTCAAAGTTTTATTGATGAGAGACACTCTTAGTCACAATTTTTTTCAGTATTCCACCCAAAAGTTACATTTTAAACATTTCAAAAAACCTAAAATGTCAACTTACCATTATTAACTGTAAATTATCCTTATTCATTGCAATTCGTACTCGTCACACTGCAACAGAAATTAAATCAAAATTATTTATATAAAAACGCAACAAAAATTTGTGAAGATGTATCTTGAATAATTTGAGTTTCAATGTAAAAAGGACAAAAGGACGAAAGTAGAATTGAATAATGTGCAATCGCATTGTGCGCGTTCGGTTGTATGAATTTATAGTAAGCGCGCGCGCCGAGAAACCTTGGTAATATTATAATAAATTTCCAACAAAAGCTGTTGAAAATGTATTGTTATGCCCTGTGCTTTCGCGATTATTCAGCGTCGACAGCGTCGAGCTAACCGCCGCTGACGTCTACTCTTTGAATCCTGCGGTTATTGTGGTTTCAATTCACTTTATTCTCTAATTCTGATTCAGGTTCTTGATTCAATTTCAGTCTGTTTCAATGCGCCACATATTTGTAGCCGACTGGTATTATTCTAATTGTGCTCGATGACTTAACTTAAACTTTCATGCACGATCCAGGAGTGAGTGGTTTTCCAGGAACTTCAGAAGACTAATTTTACACCAGTAACAAAAAAAAATACAATAAATAATCATGATATGAACCAATTATAAATTTTAGTCAATCTGCAATTATTCTATTTTGTATTATGTAAATTATATAATATAAACTTAACGGAAGGTTGAATTCAAATATACATTGTGAAACCGAGAAGTTACTGTTTTCGGAAGATGCGCAACAGGTGGTTACAAGAAGGAGGACGTTGCAGCACTCCCTAAACACACGCCGGGCGCAGTAAATCAACGTTGTTTACTCCTTGCGCTGCTGATTTTCTTCATCCAACTTACTCAAACACCTTTCACGCGGAGATTAACATTCAAAAACGAAATACTTATCGACAATTGACAATACGCGATGCATTGTCAAATTTAAATTAACAACATTACGCCGGCAATAAAGGCGAAGCGAGGATGGTTATAATTTGATAATAAATCGAGCATACAAACGGGCAGAAATGAATGACGATGGCGATGTTACAAATGAGACAACGAAATGGAGAGATGCAGAGAGCGCGCCGCGGGCGTATTATGTTTTTCGAGCAACAAAAAATGAGCGATCCGAAGGTGCTCAGCATGACAGCGTCTCTTTTGTCGGCGCGCATTGTGGTACGCGCGCCACGAACGTCGCTCGCATGAGTGTGAATGGTCGACACATCCATCGACAGATAGCAAATAATCAGTGAATAGAATACACACAATCATAATACGAACAAAACCGAATAATTAACTGCTGCGTTCGTGTCTATGTGGGTTTTTTAGGTGTTGCAGTTATTCTATGCCAGCGTCTTGAAATGAGTAATTCAAGCGTAATCAAGTAAATATGTATTGAAAATAATTCAAGAGTTAATTTGTGTCAATTAAATAAGTATCATACACATTCGTATTACACATTCGATTTATTAAGTTGGGACTGGCTACCGTGGAAAAATTCGTTAACCCCCATCAATAAATAAAAATACATTGAGTTTTTTCGTGAAATGATTTTACAAAATTTCATAATTAACTTGGGTCTAGTTTAGAAATGCGCATATTTTTGTTTTCCGGGAAGGTTTTTTTTTAATAATTAATTTTTATATAATTTTTTAATAGATTTTAATACATGACAACAATGTCAATGACGAAAATTTAAAAGAAAGTTTTTGTCACGAAATTGATTTTGAGCATGGTTAGCAAACTTCTAATCAATCAAGCCTTTAACGTCTGTTATAGCACCGTAGCCAAAGCTCCACCCCGTGACTAAAGCCCTTGACAAAAGTACTTTAGTCACGGATTTGGCGGTCTGTGTTTAAAGTACCATTTTTTGAATCTAAAAGTAATGGAAAAACTGGCACTTTAAAGATAGATGTAAAAAAATTATTAAATTTAATATTTAACAGATCTTAATGATCTATGCTTTGATGGATTCGTTTTTATATAAGAATTATTATATAAGAGGTGTTGAATAATTTAAACATTTTTACCATTACTATATTGTCTTAACACCTCGCTGCAATAAAAATACCCTCAAAAGTGTTTGCCCCGCAATAAATTAAAATGGCGTGTGTCGCACCTATATAGGCCTATGAGCATCTGTGTTATAGGTTAGTGGTTGCATTGTTTACGGGATGGCGCGGAGAGGCGCGTATTTTATCAATGCTCTCTCTATATGTCATCGCGCACTCAAATTATTACACAATGGTCACAGCGGCGCAAGCGAGAAGTTTGGAGTGGGGTGGCGCGGGGGCGGCCACAGTAAAGAGGAGCGAGCGCGCGCGTTCACTCGCCGGCTTTGTTATCCGGTGCCGCATTGTGTCGCTGTCAATTAACCTGCATTGAACGACTATTCTGAAATATCCAAGACAATACGCCCGCCGAACTACGAACGCGAACCGCGCGCGATGAAGGCGCCGGAATTGTGTTCAACGGCCGCGCGCTTTCGAACGCGACGGATCCGCCGCCACTGCCGCTACCGCCACCGCCATCATAATTTATCTCTGACTTTACACTGCGTGTGCAAATAAATTTAAAGCACCAATTTAAATTTTACTTCCTTATTTATTATGATGTGATTTCAGCACATGTTCATTTGTTGGAGTGTTTTTGTGCGGTTATTGGCAAAATCATCCAATCGAATTTTCCATATACAACATTTTCAATAAATTCATCAACGCGCAAACCAGTGCACTTAATACAGCTGACCAAAAGTATTGAAATGTCAATGGAATCGCTTGATTTGAATGACGAATAATGCCATCATCATTGTAGAATTCATCGTCACAACACAATACAATTAATTTTCTTTTCATTTAAATTATTAAATTATTTCACTAGTACGTGATTAGACCGGTGATGTAATGTCAGCATTTGAATTATTCCATTTTATTATATCTAACTACTGTCTGATTGAACATTTATTATATTTTATGTTTTAGATAAAGTTGTTTATTGTTTATGTATTTTTATACTCGTAATTGTCATTTTCAGTACGAATTGTTTTATACAGCGCTGTTTTGCATGGAAAATTCATTATAAAAACAAACGGCCATTGTGTTTGATTTTATTCAACAACTAATGTTACAGTCTGCATTGAAAGGTATAAAATTAAATTACTGTTCCAGCGGAAAGCGAAAATCATAAATTTACAATGAATGTGTGCATCGCACGCATGATTAATCCAATAGCGGGGGTGCCACATGAAAAATACTGCAGATTCTTGCCCATTCGATATATATTTTAGTGAACTACATTTAAAGCACGCAGAATATTTATGAAACAAAAATAAAATCGAATTTGAAATAATTGGAAATGCTTGCGAGTGTGCATGGGTACGCTGTGGAGGGTGTTTTTATGGATGTTACCATCTGCATGTGGGGCATCGCTTTTATTTGTTCTTCTTTCAACAGTGACAGCAACGCGGCGCTTTTTTTTATGGATGATCATTGTTGAATGGTTCATGTTATCGTGTTTTGTTTCGGTTACATTAGGGTGGTCGCGCCCCGTATTGTAGCGTCAGGTGATTGCGATGACGTGAAAAAGTGAAGACAAAAGTTTTGTAGCAAAAGGAAAATATAACGCAGTGACATGTGTTTTACTAATTGGATTTTTTCATGTGAAACGTTACTATTTCTAAGGAATAAATTAGTAATTTAATCTTTAAGTAACTGAAAAATATTTTATAGCACTTCGACTACGTTAGCGTTGATTTTAATAAAAGTTGTTTGACTAGTTGATGTCTTGTTTCTTGAACTTATTATGTTCCGATTCCGCCAATAAGATTTAAAAATTTATTTTAAAGAAGTGAGAAATGTTAATAAGAACTCTTCCCGTTTGAATAGATAACTTTAACAATGATTGAATTTTCATGTCAACCATCATTTTATTTTATATATTTTTCACTCTTCTATTGAACTTTTTTGCAACAAAAAGTAGCAAAATGGTAAAGAAATTGATTTCAAAAGCTCCCTATATAAGTTTAGTCGCAAAATTAATTTCTGAACATAAAATAGTTGATTTTATTATTTTCCCTGCAATTTTTCTCACTTTTTCTGATTTCGACTTCCTTGAAATTATTTCAAAACCAAAACCGAGTTTTATTGAGAATATCAAACGTGAATTCATATTGATACAAATTGATAAATTTTAAATATAACTTGTCTCTGGTTTGAAGCAAAATAAAAACGGCGCAACAGTTTTTTGCATTTATATGCAGGTTCACGAGTCTAGCGTTGAAGCGAATGCATAATTTACAAAACATTGAAAAGCGAAGACCGAAGTGAAAAACAAAGCGCTGAAAGAAAGCAGGCGCGCAAAGAAAGAAGTGAAAGAACACAGTTGAACACAAAAAAGGACTTTGCATTTGCAAGAAATCTTGAGAAATGTATAAAAGACAATGGCCTTCATCCACTCCACATACCGTTGGCGGGGCGCAAAGGCATAATGGTTATGTAAAAAAGCGAGTCAATTCATCGGGGGCCGGTGCGACCAGCGCACACAATGCGCGCACACCGACATCACCGCCGCCCATTTGCCGGGAGGACTTCAGAATGCATCGGACGCACATGCATGAGGCGCGTTCGTTGCATTCCTGCTCTTCGCTCTTCTTTGCGCACGACGGTGATGTAACAGCGGCGCGCCCGCCACAATGGGCAAAAAGAAAGGAGTGCGAAAGAATGGTAAAGATGGTTAAAAGAATAGCGGGTGCGGACAATGAAACGCGCGTTGGCAGCGCAGGGGAATGCAGGACGATGTGCGAGAGGTGAAAGAAAGCAAGTCGCGCGCACGTCCAACACGCGCGCTGCCCGCGCATAAAAGAAGTCACTTCTGTATAATTGTGTAAATAAATGACGCCCTTTACAAAAGACCTATGCGGATTCACATGTGTGGGCGACGTGACGTGACGCGACGTGACGCGACAAAATCGAAAACATAAAAAATTACAAATTATTCTCAAACCTCGTTAATATTTGACCTAAAAAGAATTTATTATAATAATATCCAATTGTTTCATTACCTCACTATTATTGTTTATTATTTTTGAAATACATATATTCATATACGCAGCCGGTATGAATAGAAATAATATATTAAATGAGCAAACAAAAAGGCAACGAACACCGAATCGCACAGAACTCGCCGAAACAGCTCGTAATTGCGTCCAACGCCAACAAAAACCAACCGCGATTCGCGCACCTCACAATGGCAAGAGAGATTGCCGGCCGCGCGGCTTCGACACTCTGTTCACAACGCAGCTTCTTCATCTTCACGCGCATACAGACACACACACGCACCAAACATGGAAGAATGAAATCCTTTGGCGGCGTGCACCTACAATGCGGCACACATTTTATGATAAATACAGCGGCACGTTCTATTCGTGTGCGGCGTGTATTCATTCAACAGCTTTATGAAATATTGTTATTTAGTTCCATGTTTAAATAAAACAAAAGCTTTATTATAATAGCAGGTACTTCTTTTGGCAATAATGATTTTAATTTGTAAACACTCGCGGCGTGTATGAAAAGAATTGCATTAAAATAGAAGTGCCCATTGAATTTGTTGTAGAAAAAAAAAGTTGACAAATTTTTGATTGTGCTGTGCGGTGTAATCCCAGCTCCTTCGCCAATATTTAAATTTTTTTGAAGGATAGCAATGTATTATTTTTGTGCTGTCACTCACACAGTGAAATATATGAACTTTCCATTGTTATTTTTGTGTAAAGCTTAAAGAATAAAAATGCGAAAGTAAAAGAAACAAAGCGAAATGATGAAAACACGACCCCGCCAAGAATTACAAGTTTTTCCAACTTTAAAGCGCTTCGGGGTGAACAATTTCTGCATGTGAAATTAATTTAAAATAATTTTCGTATGGGGTGAGTGGTTGAAATCAAACGTAACCGCCAAAAAATGCCTGCTTGCGTTGAATCAAAGGCGAAAAAAGAAGAACGCATGAAAAGCGGAGGATTCCAATGTTTTGCTCAACATTTCCAGAGCGAATCCGGGCGCATAAAGCGCGGGACGATGGCGACGACGACGTTAGGCGGCGGCATCAGCGGGAGCGGAATGAAAGAAAATAAATAATTCCATTTCACTTGTTAAAAATATCAATAGCGCGCCAGATAACTCGCGATGTGGCGCGCTTTTGTGCCACGCAGATGAATATTATAAAGGGACAAAGATTCTACAATACAACATACACAATGAACACAATAGTGCGCCCGTTGTATTCAGCATTGTATACATATAATAGAACTATAGAAGCAAGCTTAATGCCATTTCAAACATGCTGTTATCAGCAACGTCGGCGGCGGCACCAGCAGCGCCGGTGGGAGCGGAGGCGGCGCGCCGACCGGGCTCGCGAACAAACGCCGGGCGACGGGGCTTCAATATACACCCGACATAATGCCACATGTGCCTCGCTTCCTATACATCTATCTAACTGCCGCCGCACGCCGCTCCACGCCCGCTCCCCATTCGTCGCGCATCGCACATGTATCCTGGCCGGCGAAATATGTGTTGCAGAGAGCGCGGCTAATTGCCACCGTCTCCAGACAGGAAGTTGTAAATCTGAGCCGAAGAATAGGCACCAATATGGCCCATAAATGCATTATTCAGTTAAAGGCCGCAGGATTATTCATCACCTTCATCAATGTCTAGTAAAATAACTAAATCTCACATCTTCCGTAAAAAATAATAAATTGATTATTATTATCTATATAATAATCTAATTCAATAACATATCAAAATATCCTGCTTTTCAACCCCCTTATTTTTAAAAAATGTGAATAGAAATCACAAACCCCCACACGCCACGCCGGGTTTTCACCGACTCACACACTCGCGTATTCATACATTTAAATTTCACATTCGCGCAAATTCGTCGTTTCGCCGGCGCGCTGATGGAATTGTACGAATCGCTCGATGTCTTTCGTTCGCAGTTCGTTCGACGCGGGCCCGAAACATCCGACACAACAGGACCGGGTGGCGTGCGTCGCCTCCGCCGCCGCCGGCGCTCAGCGCCGCGCGCGATATTCACCTACCCACTCGAAATTAACGCTATATTCAAGAGGATTTTCAAAGACGGCATTGTGGCTACAATTTACTCTTATTCATAACATTTTCTAAGGAGAAGCCAGTTTGACTGTGTGTATTGAATATACTCATATGCATGGCAGCATGGTGCGGCGAACGTGGAGAGAAAAATATGGAGGGAGTCGTGTGTCGATTCAGACAAGTAAAAAGCGAGCAGAGTGGAGCGAAGCAAATAGGACTGATTAGATTTGCACGGCGAACAATTGTTTAAATATAGAATTGTTTTTGTCCTTGTGATTTGGCGTCAATATTTTGATTCAACAGTGACGCAAGCCCCTGTGGCCTAACGGATAAGGCATCTGCCTCCTAAGCAGGGGATTGTGGGTTCGAATCCCACCAGGGGTACATCGTTTTTTACATTTTAAGCGGGCAAAGAAATAATTATTAATTAAGGAGATATTTAATAGGTATTGAGTATATAGTTGTTGAATTCAAATTATTGGGGAACTTTTTATTGCCTTTTGAGAGGTGAAGTATGAGAAACGAGAAATAAAATTTCTCGCTTGTCATAAAATCCCTTGTTGGCTTATATGATACTATTGAGCAATCATTCTGCATCTTTATGTATGTAGTATCGGAAATGGGTATTGGCCAATTGGCCATTACCAACGCGTAGTCTTAAGTATATGTACTTTGTTAGCATAAAGCATAGTTTTAGAGATGTACCGAGTGCGAGGTAGAATGTTTGTAAAATATGAGCGCAGAAGAGTTGGAAGAAAGGTTGCGAGGCCTGAGGGTCACTTTTCTGACCTAAAGGCAGGCAGAATAATATTGGCGTTAGACTAGTGAAGACTAGTGTTTTGTTATTTCTTTAAATATTTTGTGTCAATTTAATAAATTGGATAAGCTTACTCCCTGTTTTTTTACATTAGAATTAAATCCGATCTTACATGTATATCGGCCTCTTTTAAGATCTCTTATAAAAATACTGTTCCGCACAAGAACCATTTTCGCAATTATAGTCAACAAGTTGTTTTTCATCCGCCCCTGTGGCCCAATGGATAAGGCACCTGCCTCCTAAGCAGGGGATTGTGGGTTCGAGTCCCACCAGGGGTAGGGGCCTTGTTTTAGTAACAGTAAAGTTTAGAAAATGACTGTTCAACTGACTATACAACAGATTGGTGGTATCAGAATGAAGTTTTTCCATTGACATTCATATAAAACAATATCCGTATTTTCCGCCTCAACTAGGCTGTTATAATTTTTTTATCAGTATTTTGTCCTTAATATCAACTTATTCATAAAAGCGTCTATCCAACAACTTCACCATAAACTGGTACATACAGTGGCGGATTATGCTTCAGTGAGGCCCTAGGCGCAAATCAAGTTTGGGGCCCCTAAATCCGAAAAATTTCAAAAACGGTTATTAGCCCAGTCATTTGGTAGTTTTGCCTAGAAAATAGTGCGGGATTGTTCAAAATTGGTATTCATATAGATTTCGATGTGCTCTTTACGAATTTAAACTTTGCCACCTCGTATCTTGTGCGCTCGCGCCATCATCTTGGAAAAATTGTGTCTAAGAACAGTTTTTTGACCATATCACCTTTCCGACTCATTTTACGATAAACATATCTATATAATAAATTATACTAGAGAAAATTTCCTATATTTTATGCAAGTACCTTTTTCTTGTAAAATTAATAGTTTTAGCGTACGGGCGCCGCAAAGTCTACTTTAACATTCGTTTTTGCCAAAAACTCATTTCCACACCACTATGAGGTAGAGTACGTGGCGCGTTTTTTTTATCGTGGTATCCCCAGTAGGCAGCACGCACTATTCCAAAATTTAATGGATTATCTTCCGATTCGCTCTTCGCGATGGACCAGGTGTTGTGCGTTAATTGTTTTCAGGACCGATCGAAATATCACAGGTAAAATTTTCTGCCATACTATCCGCGATGGGATTATCGTTTTCAATGCTATCTTGGTTCTCGAGTTCATCGTACGTGTGCTCAAAAACGGTACAAATACAAATTTACTTTTCTTGCCTTCTCTTGGGCAAAGATTTCAATAATTTTGTCGTACTCTAGTTTTTTAAAAATATCATTTTCTATGAACATTAATGCGAAGTCATTTAAGTGGTCTTGTGAAAGACTATTGCGCAGATAGTTTTTGACTCGTTTTAAAACTGAAATGTCCTTTCTCCACTTGCATTAGAAACGGGCAGAGTCAAAAAAATTTGCAGTATTGTGCGTATATTTGGAAAAGTTGATTTTAGACCATTACTTAATGTTGCATACATTTCATGTGGATCTCTAATATTTTCTTCTTGTATGTATTTTAGAAAATGAGTTAACTCATCAGTGAAATATTCTGGCTCAATATCTTTTTCATACTTAGACAATAATCGCTCTACACAATTATTAGTCTCAACACGGCTTAATTTTAAATCAAAGAAAATTTTAAAATCGTTAAGAACATTGATATAGACATCGCCCCTTCGAGTAATTTCTGATGTTAATACATCACATGCAATATAAAAAATGTTGACAATAAAAAAATTTCTTTACGAAAATGCTGTATGTACCGTACATAATTAGTTAACTAATAACATATTCATATAAGGATAATCTACTACGTTAAATAATCCTAATTGAACGTAGAGTTGATGGACCAAAATTCTGTGTCTGAAAACTAATATAGCCCTGCGATTTCCCAATGACCATTTTCCTCAAACACAAATTAAATAAATGCCAGGGAAGCGAGCAGTTAATTCAATGCTTTTAAAGAGTTCCAAAGAATTAATTTTCAATTACAATTTGCGATTTCTGCTATTAAGGTGCTCTAAAAATGTTTTTTAAACCAAATGTATTCGTGCACAATTGCCCCTGTGGCCTAATGGATAAGGCACCTGCCTCCTAAGCAGGGGATTGTGGGTTCGAGTCCCACCAGGGGTAACTCTTTTACATCAAAGATGACAAGATACCAGGAACTAAAGATTTCGAGATAACCTCGTCAAAATTGGCCGGCTTCACTGGCGCTTTGATTTCCGCCAGCCTTGATCTGCATTGACTTTACTTGACCATGCCGAGTCGAACAGGCAACAATAGACAAAACCCAGCGCGACAAGTTCATCGTTTCTTGTGTTTCTCGTCATTGTGTCGCTCGTTATTGTCTGTCGTTCCCAGCGTGCGCACTTCCACATTCACGGGGCAGCCCCGATTGTGCGCCCGCGTATTATTATGTTCTGCAAGTTGCTTTTATACCCATCGATGTGGCGCGGACGGCGGCGGTAGCGGCAGCGGCGGCGTGCTGTGTGTATGGGTAATGCGCGATTGTGAAACTACTATAAGCGCCGTTACATTTCAGTGCACGTCGTGACTGGGGAATCATCATTTTTATCCATGACAAAATTTCGACAATGCGAACCTCATTCTTGCGCCATTCTCCGTCAATAGCGAGGCGATATAGAGCAAGGGCCGAGCGAGTTGAGGCGGGGGAGGCGCAGAAGAAATCGGCGGTGGTGTGCCGAGCGCCGCTGACCAAAAGCAGCCAGCAGGCCCCGCAACACAGCAATAGCGTGATGCGATGCGGCTGCGGCGGGCCGGCGGACGACTTCTGTAATGGCTCGTACTACAATGGGACGGTTAACAAAGAACCCGCTGGACCATTTTCATAAGCTATTGTAGTTAGGTCGCGGACGGTGACTGCATACAGGTTGTGGCGGCAAGTGAATTCCCTTTTGATTAAGAACATGCACTGCACCTACAAATAAACGCACCTGTAATTAATCCACCGTAAAAATCCAAGAAAGAAAAACTTTCAACCTCCTTTCCAAAGATCTACATTAAAACCTCAACAACCATAACATTTTGTACGCTTTAGATTACGGAACGTATTGCCAGACATTCAATTACGCGATCATACCGGGATCATGGCGTTCTATATCAATATTTCTTCTGTCAAACAATGAAAGTTACTGAATTAGAACTAATGACTTATAATTTGATCCATTCCGTATTATATCATTAAATTGAAGTTTTTGACACGTGTTATTTCTAACGCCTTGAAATCCTAGCAGAAATTAACATGTTGATTGAAATATGTGTTCAAACAACGGTTCAAGTTGAGTGTTTTGAAATGAAAGATAATTATAACTAAAAATTAATTTATATAGTCAATTATTTGCCATTTGGTTTGATATAAAATTAATTATAAAATTAAACTAACAGGTGCAATATACAATGTATAAAAAAAAATTAAATGAAAAAAAAAATTCGGAAACAGTCTGTAGGACTTTTAAATTTTTCGAAGATGATTTTAGCCACCCCCTTTTTTGAAGCTACAATACAATATGTATCAAATTACATTCCATCATCACCGAAAAACTTTTCACTTCCTTTCCATTATCAGAACATCCATTTACGGCAACTATTTTCAAAGTTATTTGAACATGGGGCAGAAAAACGCATTTTCTCTCAACGTACGCACGCATGCATTTTTCCAAACTTCATACTTTGTCCGGGGAATCAATGCCTATGCCTACCATTATGCTAGTAGTATGGGGGTGTCGGATGATGATGATACAACTGATGATCACTTAATGTCGCAATCGTGACAACCGTAACCGCTGACATAATGTTCGCGACATTAAAACGCGCCGCACCAAAAAGGGGCGAACAAGCGCCAATGTTGGAACGCGCACTACCACATTAAATGAAACATTATCTACGGCGCATCATCGTAATGTTCGATGAAAAGTTTGATTGTCGGCAGTCGGCACGCGGTGGCCCAAAGTATCGTGGGGTGAGTGCGGCGCGGCCGCTTGCGGTTTGCAACACGACACGTGTTTACATTGAGGGCGAAACGACTTAATGTTGACTTACAACGCGAGACTAGATAAAGAAGGATATGCTTTCTTGTTCTCAAAGTTATTATCAAATCTAAAAGTGTAATTTAAAAATATTAGATTATTCTCTTTTTTGGTTAATAAAAATTGGGGTTGAAAAGTGGTGCTGAACAGTTGGCACCGCAGGGTTAAATTTTACCTTTGTAGTGTCCATGTGTGGTCATTTGAAGGGGTTAGAACATAAATAATACTGAAAGTCATTCAATAAAATGATTAGCAGATGTTATGACAACTTGCAGTTGATGAATTGTTGAATTTAAGAGCTTGCCATGGTGTGAAAATGTGTTCAAAATTATTAACGGAATGTTTTAAACTAATATTGAAATATTGCATGGAAGAGGATGTTTTAAAAATCTTTCAATTTACTATTCATTCTACTATTGGTGGAAAAGTGGTGAAGTAGAGCGCTAAGCAGACTTGTTGTGACTTGTGAGATAATCGCGCACCCTCGTCGGGCCTACCTTCACATTTGTGCCTCAGCCGTTATTAATAGATTACAATTATACACCAGTCATTACAAATTTTTGAGAATGCTCAATTTGTCTTTGACTTATTCCAAAACTTTCATCACAGCAATTTCCTAATAAGCAGTAAATATAAACTATTCTTTTTTCACGAAGTCTCAATAACGCGAAACCACATTCAAAAATGTTGTTAATAATCTAAGTACAATTTCATTTCTTTGGCCGTGCATAAATTTAAAATAACCGCATGTGTTCAATTATTTAATAACTTACCATGCTATCAAACCGTGCAGATTTCAATTAACGAAAACAAACATTTCAAACTCGTTGATTCTTGTTTCCCAAAGATTTATTAAAGCAATTGATATTCTCTATTAAATATAAACATTTATTATCAATCACAGAAGGCAAACTTACCATTATCTTCGTATCATCTAAACTAAACTCTGCAGGATGAATTAACGTAATCCACCAAAACGATTTGTAAAATCCCATGGTTTATTAATCATCACCTCACACTAACTTGAACACTTTACAATAAACACCATGTTGTCATGGTTGTTTCCAGTTTGTTTATCTCTGATGCGAAACAGTTTACACGCGTGCGATGCGCTCGCGCTACCCTCATGTTGTCTGCGCTGCGGGTGCGATCGGCGTGACGCCTACAACGAGCGTCCGCGTGTTACTGGCGGGATGGCGCGTTCGCGGCCGGTCGCGGCGCGAAGAAGCGCCTCGCGGGTCGCGCGGTGCTGGCGAAAGGCGAGCACCGAGCGCGATGCGATGCGCTGGCCGGCGAACGCCGGGGACCGAGGGGACCCGACACAATACAATGCCCCATCATCGCAACACAAAAGCCGCTGATACTTGAGCCGATGCAATGGCAAATGTATGAATACGCGCGCCGAACGTCGGCCCGCACAATTCAGCGACTATTCAAAGAGCATTCGTAAATGAAAGCGATAGAAGAGCGCGAGCAAGTGGAGGAAGAGGCTGAGGCAGAGGCGCGCATACCGCGGTGTACCACCATCGCCGACACGCATGCGTTCGACGTGAATTATCATTTTGTATGAGCGTGTTTCGATTAATTAATTATTGTGCGTCGCGTTCTTCGTCATTGTCATGTACTTTTCGAGTTCAATTATATTTATTTGTGTTTTGTTTTGTTGCTTCAAGGGCCAAACGGAATAAAGGAACTGCTTTCTTTGGAATTAATTAATTAAACTTTAAGTTTAATTAACTTCTAAGTAGGTTTTGAACGTGTAAATTTACAGAGTTCGTGCATGCTGATTACCGCAAACTGTTATATCAATCATGACAATAAATCACACCTTTAGTGCCACCGCATCCTTCCAGGAAACCGAAATATCGATAGTAATAATTTACGACATGCCTTATCACCTAGCAACCGAGTTGGGGGGGTAGCAGAAAAAGTTGAACTAGTGTAGTACTAGCACTACATTAAGAACGGAATGCAAATTTATAGGTTTTCAGTTATATTTGTCATCTAAGTATCGATAGCAGATAATATGTCGCATGATAGAATCAGGAACACCAAGAAATAATGTTGTGAGATACAAAAAACATTGACTCCAAATCATTTCTATAAGATAAAACACTCACACTGATGATAATAATATTGGAACTGATCGTATCCAAGTTTTTCCAATCAAAGTAAAATCAACAATGTGCGAACATAGTGAAGTTTCAAGTAAAAAATAAATCCAAGCTGTGTACCATTAAATATCCGTGAGCACACAAACAGAGATTGAATCGAATTCAAGCTTTAGGCTTGATCAAATCTTTGTTTCGTTCAAGCATATCCTCCTTTTTGTCTTTCTTTACCTTATTCAGGAACTTGTCCATCTCTTCGATGTTGGTTTCGGAAGGGAGGTCGGCGTCTTTCTTGGAACTACCGCCACCGTCCTCTGCCCATTTGCCATCGTAGGCTTCGCGATCGACAAACTTGTCATTGCTGTAATCGTCGCGATCTTCGCCTTCGGACAACGGCCCGTCATGCTTCACAGGACCGCCCACACTATCGCTGTATTTATTGATTTGCTCCTTTTCGGTATGCTGCCAACAGTATTATGTAAACCAACGATAACAAAAAACATGTTTATAGTATACCTTCTTTTCGCGTGGTTCTGCCGATGGCGGTGAATCCCGTTCACGACTATTGCTGAACGAACGACTGCGATCCCTCGATCTGCTTCTATCGAAGCGCCTGTCACGATTGTCGCGATAACCGCCACCTCGCTGGAACCTACCCCTCGGGCGTCTCCCTCCACGATTATTATAAAACCTGCCGCGGTTGTTACCGCCTCCGCCACGGAAATCTCGATCGTGGATGCGTTCCCTGTAATGATTATTACTGTTGTTACCACCACGGTTTCCGCCGCGCTGGAAATTGTTGCGGTTGTTCTGGAAACGCGGCTTGTAGTAAGTGCCGCGATCATTGTATCGTCCACGGAAACCTCCACGACGACGCCGCCGATCGCCAGAATATGATCGTGATCGAGAACGACTACGTGAGTAATACGATCCAGAGCGAGACCTGGATCGGCTGTAATACGATCTGGAGCGGCTGCGGTAACTCCTAGAACGTGAACGAGATCCAGTACTTGACCGTGACCTACTGTATTTGCCTCTAGACCTCGATCTGCCCCTGCTCCGAGGCGACCGGCTTTCGGAGCGTGGACGTCCTGGTGGCTCTGGCGGTTTTCCACGACCATCTATAAATTATTCAAATAATTATATCAATTATCCCAACCTATATTAGTGTATTCTTACCATAACGCTGAACAACACCAGGAGGTGGACCTTGAGCATTCTTTGGTGGTGTGACCAGTCGGAAGTTACCAAACTTGTCCAGCACTACTTGACCTTGCGGTATCGGATTGGCTTTCGGCACCATGCCCCCTTGATTGCCCTTCTTCTTGGGTCCTCCTTCCATCATCATATCTTGCTTTGGTGGCATTCCTTTATTGCGAGATTGTAATTTGTCGTGGGGCAGAGGCGGCAAAGGTGGTTGCTTTTTGGGTGAATCTGGACGCATATGATCACCGTTCTTACCTTGCAAATTCAGGGGATCGTCTTGCCAATCCTCGCGCTCCTGCTTGCGCTTGAAGCGAGACGTCGACGCCGTCGAAGGACCCACATGCATTTTCCATTTGCCGCTACTAGTCATTGCGGATGCTTCTGCAACTGCAAGACGCGCTTTCTGTTCGCGTGTTGGTGATGGCGAGCCAAGTGAACGCTTCGGGCTTATAGAACCTCCTTCACCCTCAGACCTATTCACACAAAACCTTTATTTATAAAATCTGAATACGACCTTGTTGTATTAATGCTCCTACCTCTTGACCTCATTCTCCAAAGCGTAGTATGCACTCAATTTCGCTTCCAATTCATCAAGCTCTGTGTAGTTTTCCAACAGTCTGTAAACGAATAGTTGTAATGTATGAATACATATTAAATTTAAACAAAAACACACCTTTTTCCTTGTCCCAACTTTTGAAGTAAATATTCCTCATCATCTGATAGGACAACACCATGTTTCTTGCTGCGCTTGCCCTCCTTGAGTCCCAATTCCTTCTTCAGCGCATCGCGCAACTCATACTCGTCCAATTTCCGCTTAAGTTTCTTATCCTTCTTGCGCTTCTTACTTTCTTTTTTCGATTTCTTGTCCTTCTTCTTCTTTTTCTTTTTATCATCTTTCTTGTCCTTCTTCCATTTGACGCTCTCGTCTAAAAATTTTCTTACCTTGTCCTCATAATCGGTATCCCCTTTGGTTTGCTCCAAAAAGTTGCGCAACTTTGTCTCGTAACTCTCCTCGACGGTTTTGGTGGCTTGAGCTTCCAAAGAGAACTCCATAGAAGGTCCAGCTGGCTTGTTAAACTGATAAGCCGTAGCGGCCTCATGGGTCGGATCCATCATGGCCATGCGCTTGCTGAGTGGCGACAGCGAGTTGGCCTTTTCTCTGCGCTTCGACTTCTTCTTGCTACGCTTCTTGAAGTCAGAGTCCCCAGAACTAGAGCTGGAGTCACTCGAGCTGCTCGACGAACTGCTGCTGCTGTCATTGCTGCCCGAAGAGCTGCTCGAAGATGTACTACTGGAGCGACGGCGACTCTTACGCTTCTTACTTTTCTTCTTTTTCTTCTTCTCTTTCTTTTCTTCCTCCTCCGACTTCATCAAAGTCTTGTACGGATCAGTCAATTCCGCGGCTTGCGCCTTTGGCAAGTTGGGCAACAGAAGTTCGCCGGGTTCAATTAGATTCTTTACCGGTTGAGCTTTGGACTTCAAAAACTCCAAACTGTTCATTGCTTCCTCGTGTCTCGGAATGATGCTTAGACAACTCTGGTAAGCCTTTCTGGCCTCATCAAATTTATTGTCCTCTTCGTAACTACGCCCCAAGGCAACAAGAGTTTCGCCCATGTATTTGCGCGCGTTTGCATGATTCGGATTTAGTTTGAGCGCAGTTTCAAAGTCCTCGATCGCCTTCTGGAAGTTGCCGCTGTTAGCGTACAACGCGCCTCTGGCGACCAGACCTTCAACGTTCTTAGGATCGATATGCAATGCTTTGTTCAAGCATTGGAACGCCTCTGTATGTCGTCCGGCTTTGAAGTGTTCGATACCGTCGGCGACGTTACTGTATGCCCACTTGCTCGCCTGTTGCTGACGAAGCTCAATGGCGTACTCTCCCTCAGGAAAACGCGTTCTGTAAAATACAATTTTCATACTTCAGAATGGAAAACACGACCCTCATGTCAACCACTATTACCTCAGCGCTGACAGATTGCTGCAATGCTTCTCGACGCCGAGCAACGCAGACAAATGCGCAATATTGTTCGGATTGTTGTAACCGACACTTTTCTCGAGCACAACGTCATAGCTTTCGTTTTTGTGATCGAGAGCTTTCCTGTAACGACAGATAAACAGCAACGGTATTATTGTCATGGTCCACAGAAAGACGCTACTTCTACACATCAACAACAAACGCAAAGTGGTTGCAATAAATTACAGGAAACGATGCTGCAGTTGCAACTTCCATATTGTCGCATTAAAATCCTAAAAAATATCACTAATACTTCGAGATTCTTCAACTTGTAACCGCCGCCCATTTAGTCGATTATTTCGATCGATTGTGAGTGTAATTGGGTAGATAGCTTGAGCAAGAGTTATTATATTCATTAGTTAATACATACCCAAGTCATCGACACCAATGTATTAATGGATCAATGTAAGTTTTATCACCATTCACATGGCTCATGCATTCCAGCTCTGTGGAGTACTTTTCTACATGGATATTTCGATTAGATTCGTTATTTTTTCACTGTTTAGAGCTCTGTTCAACTGGTTTTTGCCTGCCTTTTGTACTTATATTTTCTTATACTGTTGTTATAAAAAGTACTTTGAAATTTATAGAAATTACTCGTTTTTCTCAATCAATACTGTGAAAAAGATGTAAACTTTTAGCACTCGTCGCAATCATAATTCAATAATTAAGCACCCAAGTATGCTCAAAGTGTTCATCAATTGTCCAGCTATTGTATCATCAGAGAAATAACAAGATGAACACTTCACATAATCAAGTGCTCGAAAAACACAATAGCCCATGATGAAAAAATTGACTAGAGTATAGTTATAATTGTGATTATTAAGGACATCTCACCTGGTGGCAAAATAGTATTCGGTACACGTTCGCCGGGAACGTTTTTACGCATATTGCGAATATTTGGAGGTAAAAAGGACACAGCAATCAAAACAACACAATAGTGGACGCTTAAAACGCTGTGCAACGAAACCCAATCAATCAACTTGCGACAATTGTGCAACAACGTTCCGGTGTTCACTTCGTTTTTTTGGTTTGTAATGTACGAGCGAGTATCGTTTTGTATTTTCGTCGGCAATTTGCGTTTTCACCTTTATGCGTAATCGCTGGTACTTTTTTTGGTTATCGGATAGATTTGTTATTGTTAAAAACTAGCGAAATGTAATTTAGAAAATCGTTCAATAACCTACGGACAAAAACAGCACTTATATACTTGTCGTGTTCCGGTTGAATTACACTCGCTAAAAGAAAAATAAACAAAACGGTTATGTTGCACGTGCCTGGAAAAAAGCTTGTATCGATCGCAAGACGTGCGCAGATCCATTAAATATCCATGAGCCGGGCATCATCAAACTTATTAAGCAATCCTCCATCCTTGGCGTACATTATTATACCAATTAAAGTTACAGAGTGACCGAAGTTAGAAAGAAGAACAAGGCAAAAGATAAGAATTACGTGTATCACTCACTTGTATGCCAGCGGAAAATCGTCGGTGCTAATCAGTCCCAGGGCGGGACTATGTTCCGGATCTTCGGACTGCCTGGTGGTACCTTTCATACCACACATTATTTTGTCAGTGTCTGCGATCACCTCCAGAACTTCGCAGCAAACAGAATCGTTCATCATATAGCTGCGGGTCACACCTTTCCGATCAACCGCTGGTATTATATTAGCAACTGGGCAGAAAGCCTATGGATATTAAAATTCATTAAAAAATCATGAATCATATTGTTTTGCAGTTTAGCTAAACATAATTCTGTTTACAATAATTTGACTTTTAAATTTCAAGGGCATTCAAATAACTTATAATGTTATCACTTTAAAGAATGTATGATAAAGTTTTAATTTGCAATGTAAACAGCTTAATTGCATATTTAATTTAAATTAGGGAAAGCCAATGTCTATCAAAATTAATTCTTAGTCATAATAAACTTATCACCCACCTTAACATTGATATCAGCTACATAATGAACTGTTGCACCCACTCCTGTGGTGCAAAGTACCTTTAACATCATGCCAGACTGAGTTTTGCTCACAATTGTGCCCAAAATTAAGTCACCTATCTTGACATTCTGAAAGTAAACACATATCTAAATAAGTTATTTGTGCAAAACATCATTTTAGACATAACATAAGTAATCTAATCAAAATGTGTATTCATATTTTGAATATAAATGCATATACCTCTCGAAAGTATTTCAATCTGCTTTGCTTGTCAACAACACTCATAAATGTTTCCAATGATGGCATCACAGCATAATGATCTTCAGAAGATCCAGCTTCAGTAGACCCATCAATTTTCTCCATATTATCATTAGAGTACAGCACATCTGCATGCTTGACAAAAAACTGATGCATTTTTAACCTCTTGGTCCTCTCTTGAAAAGACAGATACATGCTCCTCTTGTTGTACACAGCAAAATCCAAATCTTTGATTTTATTCAACTCCAGCTCACTCCGCTCATTCTCCCAGATCTTTTGAAATTGCGGCCCATGATAGTTGAGGCTGTTTGTCACCAAGTCCAGATTAAGAGACTCCATGGTCGGAGCAGCCTTGGTGACTACCCTGACACCTGTGAATTAATGAAGTTTTCTAATCAAAACCAACATCATATCTCAATACATTAAGCGTTAGGCACGTCGCAAACATTGAAATTAAATATCATTCGGGTTTTGTTTGCTTAATAACCATTAATTTTTATTCGTTCAATTTGCACGTATGTATGTATTCAAGCCGCCCATGTATCATGGGTGCGAATCGATTTATCAGTACGGCGTCGCTCTAAACGCGTTTCTACGACTATCTAGAAATGCGAACATAACATCCTGAAAAAGATTTAACTCTCGGCGCGATCGCATTGAGAGAATACACTTACCTAATTGATATTAATTAGAATACTAACACACAACACAACTCAATAACGAAACATCGGAATCATCACGGGGAGGCGTTTGGCGGCGTGTAAAATGGCGGATAACCTTGACAGCGTGCAGCGACACAAACGCCGCTAAACGACAGATAGGCACGCCACCTCTGAGAGTGTATAGTAAAATATTCAAACAAAGATTTCAATTGAAAAATTTAATTTTGTTATTGATTTATTATTAGAGTGAGAAAATTAGGAAATTCTAAAATATATTTAACCTAACAACTTACTTTCATTGCACAATTTTCATAAAATTTTATCATTTATTTAAAAAAGCAAATGTTAGATTTAATTACGTTATTATTAATATTATGAATGCAAAAGTGCCGAGTTTGTTTGTTTGTTTGTTGCACTTTCATGCAAAAACTACTTCACTGATCTTTATAAAACTTAGTAAACATATTTTCGAGGGTATTGTGAAGAACAAAAAAATAACAAAAAAAAATGTTTTTCCATAAATCAAAATATTTATATTGTTAAAGTATGATCGCCAACCAAAAGTTTTAAATAGTTATATAATTCACATTGTGATGGCACTGAAATGCATTATTTTCATTTTCATTAAAATTGAAATTGAGAATTTTATTCTCGCCGTCATGAAATTGGTTCAAAAAACAAACCAATTAGTTACGCAGCTTTTTATTTAGTGTTTTTTATAAATAAAAATAATTAATTTCACATTGTATTCGGGTTATTTTAATTAATATACCTCTGAAGCAGCAAAACTTTTGATATTTGCACACTGCATTAACGGCGAGTACAACGCTATTAATAAATATTCCGAGGAAAATTAATAAACATTAATTGTACAAAAACAAATTCCCTAATTCTAATTCATCTCTCCGACGAAAATATTTATGATTCATGTTAGAATGCATAAAAGTTGTAATGGTGGAATAATTTTAACTTGTAACAAACAATAATAGTGATAATGAATGATTTGGGTGCATTTTGGTGATGATCCGGCTCAGAAAAACATATCGTATAATTAATGTTGCCATTAACAATATAAAAATTAAATAAGTAAATATTATATCATACATTAAATTAAGTATCAGCAAATTTAATTAACCTTATCACCGTTTATATTTTCGTAGTGTTTATACTAGTAACGTAAATATATTATTTGTTATTACCAATGTGTTATTAGGTGATCATAATGATTAAATTTTTCCATGCAGGTCAGCGCAGAGAGCATCTATTGGCTGACCGTATTATAACGATTAATACATATCGTTGAATTTTATTATATAAGTTAGCAACTGCAATCACTCAGCGAATTTTTGTGATAGTCAAGCATTATAAAAACGAAACCAAGCCGGCATCTCATCAGTCGGTTTTTGTCGTCCAATCACCAAGATGGGTCGCAATACTGTAGGACTGTGCGGTAAGTTCAAACAAATAAATATTTTTTTTGCATAATTTTGAATTACAATATTGTTGTTTTCTTATTTACTTTACAGTGTTAGCACTTTTCGCTTCGGCGAATGCGTTTTACCCCCTGATTCCGGAGGGTAAAGAACTGATCTATCACTACCATGGTCTCATTCGTGCCGGCAGTCATTTGCCAACTTCCTACGCCTCCGCATTCATCCTGGATGGTAATCTGCACTTGCAAACAGACAAGAACTCTTCCTTTGTCCGTTTCTCTGACCTGAAGTACAAATTGTACAATGGGCAGTACGACGAATGGCATGAGTACGACACCAAAGAGATTGACCTGCCGAAGGAACTCGAAGTCTTTGAGCATCCTTTCAAAGTCGTCTATGAACCATGCGGTCACGCCTGGGGCATCGCAGTCGAAGCCGATGAACCTCAATACTCTGTCAATGTGAAGCGTGGTATTGCTTCCATCTTGCAGATGTACACTGAGAAGATCGACTGGACCAAGACTACGCCCTATGCGTTCCACACTAAGGAACATACCTTGTATGGCAAGGGACCTTACTACTACACTGTCTTCCCGGGCAGCGATGAGTGGACCGTTAAGAAAATGGCCGAGCCCCACAGCAACCACCATTTGTATGCTCACTTGAATACCGGAAGCAAAATGGGTAAATGTGATGTTAAATACGACGAACCTCTGACCCGCGATAGCAACCAAGCTTACACCATCATCAAGAAAGACGATGCTTACCTTATGGAACGTATGGAGTCCAATTCTGGAATTTTCTACACTCCCTATGGCGGCGAAGGTTACGCTTTCCACATCTACATGAACCAAACCATGACTTTGAACAAGATTGAAGCAGCTTCCGCTCCAATGACAGTTAAGTCTGAGAAGTTCTACAATGGTCTTACCTATTACACCGCTGATTTCAACACCATGCAAGGTATTGCTGATATCTTCAATGGAAGGCGCACCTACGATATGGACAAGATGCTTGTTGAACTTGAGACTATGCTCTATGACACCATGAAGTACATGCATGAATACCATTTGGATATGAAGGACCCCGACTGGGCCCGCGGTCAACTTGTTAACCGTATGCTCTTCCTCTTGTATCAGTTGGACCAGGCTCATCTGGAATCCATGGCCGATAAACTTATGCAGAAGACCAGCGAAGAAGACAAAGAGGCTCTTCACGTTTACTATCACATGTTGCCTCTGATCGGCAGCCATGCTTCCTACATGTACATGATGAAACGCATGAAGACCAAGAAGATCAAGGATAAGCTTGCTTTGGAGTGGCTGCAGAACATGCCCTTCCATGTTAAGGAACCCAACAAGATGCTGCTCGATCACATGAGTGAGATGCTTAACTGGGGTGAAGATATTTCTATGGATGTTCGCAAGAGCGCCATCTTGGCTTTTGGTACTTTCGTTGAGAAGGCCATGTTCCGTCATAACAAATTGAACCATATCAACAATTGGACCGGTCATGAGGGTCACGACAATGAAGACAACTTCACTCCCGACTATGAATTGGATGCTGTCTTCCCCGGAGCTAAATACTACGAGAAATACGTCACCATGTTGGGCGAGAAGATGAAGACCACCAAGGATCTTGGTATGCGCACTGCTTACATCAGCGCTCTGTACAATACCCGTATGGAGAAGGCCATCCACTACTTATGGCCAATTGCTCGTGGAGAACTCTTCGATGACCATTACCTTCGCTTGTTGGCTGTCAAGAGCATGGGTGACCTTGTCAGTCACAACGAGGAACTGGTTTATGAAATCTTCTGGCCTATTATGAGTGATTACAAACTGAACACCAACCTGCGTATCGCTGCTTACTACCAAATCATGAAGACCCACCCATCCGGTCCCCGCATGGCCAATCTTCTCTGGCAAATGATTAACGAAGAGAACTACGCTTTCTATCAATTCCACTACAGTTTCCTGGAAGCCATGTCCCGCACCACTGATCCTTGCATGGACGATTTCAAGACAATTGTTAAACAAATTTTAATGTACACCCAGAAAGCTGAATACTACGGCATGACCGGATACTATGAGTTTGACTACATGGACACCAAGTATGAGTTTGGACACCAATTTTCTGCTATGCTTGTGAAAGCTCCAGGCGAGTCTGAAACCACTCTTAAGATTAACATGGCTCACACCGCTGAAAATGCCAAATTCCCATTGTATGGATTCTTGATCCACGTTGATGGTATGGAGGCTTCCGTCTTTGAAGATGTTATGCTCTACATGAAGGATATGTCCAAAATGATGAACTTTGAAAAGGTCTGGAAGGCGTATAATAATATCTACAACAACAAGGAAATTCGCATTGACATTGGCGTCACCATGTATGGTCAGGCTATTATGAACTGCCATTTTGATGCTACAAACATCAAGGAGTTAAGCAATTTCATTGACTTCTTCATTGCCGATCAGTACGACTACGTGAAGAAGTACTTCAGCATTACCTATCCCATGCAGACCAACGTCATCATGCCGACAGAAATGGGTTTCCCTGCTTTGTTCAAAATCCTTATTCCTCAAGTTTACCTCTTTGACATTAAGCTTAAAAAGAATTCTCTTAACAATATGATTATCTGGCAGTATGATACTCATATCAAGGAGTGGACACATGGACGCATTGGACTGAGCTTCTACAATCCTTTCATTGATATGTATCAGGGAGTCCAAAGAATTATTACCTTTGACTGGGTACAACCATTGTACTTTGACTTGAGTTTCAACCCATCCCAACAGACATTGAAACTGTCATGGAAGAGGCACGACGACCCCAAGAAGGATACCTACGGTATGAGAACCTTTGCTGCTACTTACACTTTCATGAGAGACGACTTAAACCAAGGACTTTTGCAAAAATCGAACCCCGAGCTGAAGAACTGGGAAATGGTTACCTTTGGCGATGAATACAGAAACACTGTAAGATCATTCAGATTTATAATTTCTTATGTATATTTAATTGATATTTTTTGGTGTTCTAGCGTGTTCTCTACGAAGACGATTGTTCCAACACTGGTTATCACACCATGATTCACAAGTTTGATAGTGACGTATATGCTAGCAACATGTCTATCTTCAAGTCCTATAACCATTTGCACTACTCTCAGAACTACCACACTTACTTTGGTCATTGGTTCTTGACTCGCTTCCACGCTCTTATGAACGCATTTGAGCAACCCCATCCTTATGTTAACGGTATCTTGGTTCGCTCCGAAGTTAGCAAGCAGTACCCTGTCACCAACATCGACATGAACATTCGCTTCAACCGCGAATACCAACGCGGCAATATGATGCTTTATCCAGCTACCTTGTGGAATCTTCGTGGAACTTACTCAATTAAGAACAAGGAAACCACCATAAAGACCTGGGACGCTAACCTTATTGTGAATTCTAACATGGGTCACACTACTACCACTGTCAAGGGCCTCTTCGGCCTAATTATCCCTGGCAAAGAAGACTCGAGGATCTGCCTTACCGGTAGTAGGAAATACACTGTTGATGGAATTGAAGGTGAAGCCGCCATTGGAACGGTGAATGAACCCAAATGCACTAACATGAAAAATATTATGGAAATTAAGGTGGTTGGTGAGCAACTTCCGGAACAAATGGACAACAAGCACATTTATGGAGAATGTCAAGAATACCTGTGGTCTGACCTTCACGATATGAATTCTCTTGACTGCTACATGGCCAGAGATACCCTACGTAAGTGGACTTATGACTTCAAGACTTTCGATATGCCCGCCAAAATGCAAAAGTACGTCCGTGGATACTACGATTGGTTGAAACTAAGCTTAGTGAAGTACCTTACCAAGTACGATGAAGCCTCCATGGATATGAAGAAGGGTGAGTGGAAGATTGTCCATGAATATCCCTTGGTGGGTGACAAAGTTGACTTGCACGTGTACACTCCTGACAACGACTACCAATTCAGCGGTATCCCATCCTGGAAGTACCCATATTACAGATATCACATGATGTCCACCAAACATTTCTCGCCTATGTTCAAAATTATGCACACTATGGGCTGGACCCATGTCTGCGAAATCCACCAAGACCTAATCTACAACTCTACTTTGGAACCGGAAGAGTTCATGATGCCCGAAGACTGGACAATGTATTTAGGAGACGCTGAGACTGGTGCCAAGCACGGCATCTGGATGAAGAACCTCAAGGGTGATGATGTGGTATGTTATATTGTAAACAATCAATAATTTAATATGTACTAAATACAATGTTACTTTTATTAACAGGCTATGAAGATGATGCACGGTGAACACAGCTTGGAAATTATGCCTACTGGTCATATGACCTACGATATCATGGTTGATGGTAATAAGCTTCCGGAACATACCTACCAGTACGAAAAGGAGTGGTTCTGGATGGACTTGGTTAAGGAGACTGGCGTATTCAGCATCTTCTGCATGCATACAGGCGCCCATATTGTCTTCGATGGCCACCATCTGTTCCATGAGCGTCCTAATATGGAAATGCCAATGTATGGCAGGTGCGCTTAAGTCAAATGCAATTCTCATCAAGAATCAACACTCTATCAATCAACAACTTGTTATATATGAATTAAATTAAGACCATTAAATTAATAAATAATTACAACAGCAAATATCAACTTTTGATTTGAAAAGTGCAAGCACTGTAATCTTGGTTGCAGACTAACTTCTTATTGCTGATTAACGTATTGCCACGTTTTAAATGCGCAATATATCGCAAGTCAAGCACAGATTTCTAAATTTCTTCCATGTTTGTCCAATATTTCAGTTGCAAATTCGATAAAATTGAGTTTATTTGCAAAAAACATTTGTGTTAATATTTAAAACCATAATATGTGGATGTGGATGGCAATATTTTGCAATTTGCGGTATTGTACCAGGATAAACATCCTAGCCGCAGGCAAATAGAATGAATACACAGTTAAATTACGCACAGCAAAAAAAGTAGATCAAAACAAAATATTTTGTTACCCCTTTAAAGAGAAAACCAATTAGCAGGCGATAATTCAAAGTGTACATGATTAATTAGACCGCTACAACATTAAGCGTGATCCATCACCACGTATTTTGCACGAGTTAAAAGCTGCTTGCTTTTCCCCATCCCAAACTAATTAAAATTAACTACATCCAAAGTTGCCTACAATGAAAAAAACCCAACCCACAATGTAGGAATGCAAACAAACATCTATGTGCAATTTGGACGATGCGCTGTTTCGTCTTCGATAATCCGACGTAGGCGATCGATTACGTACCGGCCCATTACGACCGGCGGCTGCACATCAGCCGCCCCTAGCCGATGCTGCGATCCCGGCGTGCACGTCAGGACTACGCACAGCGCTCGAAGGCAGACGACCAGGACCAGCGAGCGGCGTGCGCGTTTGCTCCCTTCGTACGATGTGCGCTGGAAAACCAACTCGCATCCCTCGCAGGACCCAGTCAAATTCTGGCAGCGCGAGCGTACGCGTAATGTTAACGCCGCGGAAAATCGTGTGCACCGTCGATCGCCAGGACATACTCGCGAGGATTGCGCTCCGCAACGCGTGCGTTTGCTCGCTCGAGCATTGAATTACGAACAACAACATTCATTGATTGAACGTTAAGTGATTGATTGATTGAGATTCATTGGATTTTAAACTCCGACAGCGTCGATTCTCAATAAATTTTGAATGCTACGTTTATATTTCTCACGTTTCGCGTAAGTTTTTTATTGGTATGTAATTTTTCAAAGGAGAAAATTTGTTTTGTAGAGAAACTAATTTACTAGGAAGTGATCTACTTTCCTTCGCGCTTTTATCTTCAATCTTTTATATTCTCTCACTCAAGAGCAGGCATGTGTAAAGTAAATGTGAACTTGCATCCACAAAGAACAACGGATAACTCTTATAACTGTCCGAAAAGTTCCCGTTTCGTCTGCGCGCCGCGTTCCGCTTTGGTTTCGTATTGAAGTTTTATTTCACCCTTGCCGACTGTCCAAAAAGTAGATCTAGATAAAATGTTTACTCCTTACATAATCGACTTTCCGCGAACAATGCAATAGTTTTCAACTAGGTAAGCGAAAGAAGAAAACGAAAAAAATGCGAGGCAAATTTATTTATGTCATTAAAATGGCGAGCGCAAAAGCAGCCCAAGGTGCGAGCTAGAAATGTGCACTTGGAAAGTTTTATCGAGTCGTTTCCTGTTTATAAGTGAAAGCAGGGAACGCGGCGGTGACTGAAAAAGCAGGAAATTGAGCAAAAAAAGACACGAAGCTGTGAACAAAATTAATAACATCAGGAAGGATTATCTAGACTTGTGCGGAATATCAATTGGACAATAGGGATTGTTATTGATTCTTACATCTAAAATAAGTTTTTATCATTCAAATAAAAAATAAAAATAAAAAACCTATTTTAGTGAGAAAATGTCAAAAAAGTTTAGATCAAAATATTATACAACTTAATTTATAGAAATGTTGACCTATCTAAGCCTGGCAAGTGAGAAGTAGGCCTTGTTTTGTCCACTAAGTCTTGGTTTCTGGTCCTACAGGCTTTGCAACCATATCCCAACCATTATGTTATTACACGAACATGTAGGACGTGGGTTAATGCTAGCAAAACATGTTTACTTGCTTCAATTTTGATGTTGGATTTACGCAAAAACGAAATTTTCAATCATTGTATTTTGCAGAATAAATATTGTCACTTCGAGAGGTGAGAGGTGACCTGAATCCTTTTAACCACTTTGGATTGTTATAGATTTTATGTCTTATTTATTTTAAATTTGAAATTGTCTGAAAACACGAATATACGTTTATTTATTTTTGTAAAATTACATCTCGAAGCAATATTTACAAAACCTGCAAGCAGCAAGAATACTCAATCTGTTTATTCAGAGTTTTTCGTATCAACTCATCAATATTCCAGCGAGTTTCTCGCTCAACTGGCTTCCGCTCTAAATTTTGTTACGACGCTAACCAATACTTCGCAGTCGATTGCACTAATCAGCTAATTAGCCGGCCGGCATCGATCGAGTGTATGATAAAGCCAACTAAGCTCTTGATCTCTAACCTCCTCCGAACCGCCCCCGAAGCACCGCCTTTCGATTTTCGCTACACGGTAAAGCAACACCCCGGACACGGCGGCTCGGCGCCCACTCGTGTTGTGATGACTCAAACATAAACGAAAAGCAGATGAGAGCCGGCGGACGGGCCCCGAGCTTTGTATAAATTAATTTCACGCGAATAGCGTCAACCTCAGCGCAAAGTTTGCGTGTTGGTGTTTGTTTCTGTCGTGTATGTGCAAACAGTTTGTGTGCGCACACTGGGCGCATAATTGCAATAAACAAGAACGACAGCGGCAAATTTAATGCCGGGCAAATCTGATGCCACTAACATTCTAACGGATAGGAAGTGTATTAACGCGATTTCAGAGAAGTTAATTTCTTGTTGTTGGCGCTGCTGAATATTAGCTGCCAGCAGAAAGTTATTACGTGGTTGCGTGAAACTTTCTCGGCGTTCGCTTCTTTTGTAATACGAAATTTCAATTTGAGATTTTTATTAAATCGCTTACGGGCAAACAAACGACGTCGTCCAACATCTGAAGCGTTTGGTAATGAATTTTCTAATTTTCATATCAATTTTCAAGCTACCTACATCCTAAGAATTGTTATATGTATTTTCCTCGATGTTTTTATTCTGTGGATTTTACGGAAAATTATTAAAAGTTTTAAGGAAAAGAACTTTTTACGATGGCGATTATCTTAAACTTTCTTATATCTTAAATTTAACATTTTTCTGGAGTTTATTTGCAACATTGTTGAGAAATTAAAAAACGATATTTTTCTTGTCATAGAAAGACATTTTAGGATATATTTTTTGTACAGATTTCAAAGTTATTTTTTAAATGTCTAAAAAACTAAAATTACTTTTACACGTTTTTTTTTGTTTATGTATGTATGTTTATGTATATTTTAAGCTTACGATCTTAAAATATTAGAAGTTTCTTAATGCCAGAAGATGGAGAATTAATTTCTCTTGGGGCACAGTGTATTTAACAGTAATGTGCATTTAATATTTTAGAAAATAATCCAGTTATATTAAAACAAAATCATGCATTTTATTCAAAAACTCTGAGATTCTTATACAAACCAATGCACATGTAAACGTTTCGAAAACTTTGTTTCAGTGTGGAATTTTCCATAAACGAAAAATTATTATACGCTACAAATAATTTATGTTTCTGTAATTTACTCAGAGGATATTTGCAAATTTGAGTATTATTTTTTGCTATTTTTGGTTGAGCATTACTTTGGGCAAATTAAATCTAATTTACATTTTGATCTGTGTTTTTATCATTTGAAGAAAGCTGATGCTACTGATTAGGTAAACCACTTCTAAAATCTAGGAACTGGTATCCCAATACGTCAAAAATATTGGGTAACTCCATAAATAAAAATAAAACATAATTTAACTTGGCCAAATATGTTAAACAACTTCCAAACGCACGTTTTGTTAAATTAACTTGAAAATATGCTCTTATTTATTTATATTAACCTTAATATTACTCCATTTGGCATCATTTATTTTTTGTGCCTTTGAATTAACTCGACTTAGCTTGACACGTTAAATCCAATCTGAAGATAGCACACCAAATTAGGTGTCAGTGCGCAAAACGCCGCTGGATTTATAAGTTAATAACATAATTGAATGATATATCACCCAAGTCGGATTTTGCGCTCAGCGGAGAATGGCTTCCATTCACAATTCATGTGCATTCTGCCGGATTCACGCGCGGACGCGCCTGAAACAAAAATACGAAAGATAGGGGATGATTTTTCACTTATATTACATTTTTATACAAAGTGCTCAGAAAAATAAATAATTATCTCTTCCTCTTTATCGCTTTGAGTGTAATATTAATGATTTATTGTGCGTGCATTCCAGAATATTAAAATAGGAAATGTGATTGAAGTTGGTACTTTGTGAATCCCCAGAGTACGTATTAATATGGTGCAATGATTGATGACGGTGCGCATATGTTTGATCGATGATTGCAATAAATGTACGAAATATGCATTTTCTACTCGATGTACATTTATCACATTGTTTCATTTAAACAATGATGCAGTATCAAATGGAATTTTGTGCATAATCCTAATTTATGTACTACTGTCGCGCTCGGAACTTAGGTACCTATATTGTAACTCAAACAATGTTTTTATTTTTAATGCACAAACTTTAGTATTATTTAATCTTTATACAATGATGTAATATCCTACTATTAATGAAACTCATCCTCCTATCGTGATTTATTGCATGTTGTAAATTTTCGCTCTGTTTGTATTTCTCGTTTTCGAAATCGTCGAACTTAAATGGACGCCTTTGGGCCGTGCCAATCTAACCTTTCCGAATGTTCGCCTCAAGATTCGCGCCGACGACATTCGGGCGTCGATTAATAACGCAACGCTGACGGTGTAAATGAAACGACAATGATGATCCTTCGTTGTTCGTCGCTCATAATCGCACAGTTCAGCAACTCCATTCAACTTCGCGCAATATTCGGATAACTTTAAAACGCCTCGCGTCGGCTTAATGTCTCCTTAGAGCGCGTACAACCCTACTCCCGAAATGCAAATTGCAGATGGGATTATAAATTATTACATGTTATGATGATCACTTTATTATAATCGTTCGCGTCGTGTCGTCGCAAAGTTGAGAATATTGGCTCGGCTTAATGGCGAACAATGAGACATGAGCAAACAAAGCCATCATAAACTCGAATGAGCAATCAAAGTAAATTAGAAACGTTAAACCTCTTCATCAAACAATCTTACAACATTATCTTCTACATGAGTACAAATTAAAAATAAACATTTTGATTATAATTAATTTTTTTAATGTATTTCAGATTGGATTTGGGGGAGAATTCAAGTAAGAAATACTTTTTGAAATGAAATAAATTGTATTGTGATAAAAGGAATGAGACGGGAAAATATTTGCAAGCATCACCAACTCTAATAGAATAGAGTGCAGTACAATATGATGATCAGTGTAGCAGTGGTTCAGCGAGGGTTTGAAAATATCAATACATGGAACTAATTGTGTTGCGCTCCAGCCGCAAAGGAGAAGAAAAGCTCCAGAAACACCATGATAATGATGGTCTTTTGATCGGAAAAACGCTTGTCGTGCTATGAAAACGGCAACTCTCTGGCTGGTAACGCTCTTCTTGGGGTCCTTCCGCACTAGTCATGCCCCGTCGCCCCCAACCTTGCTGCTCCACCTCACCGAACTCTGCTACTATCCGAACGTGAACGTCGACCGCCTCACTGGAGATTACAATCGCTTCGTATTCAAAGGTAAGAAAAGAAAAGGCAAGAACAAAACAAACACTCCTATTACCTGTTTCACCTTCATTTTCTTTTATTGCTTTACCGTGGTGTTCAATGCGTTGTAGGGGTAGTTAAGACTCACTAATAGTATCATAATTAGAGGGTTGACGGTAATGAATTTCGGGAATGTAAAACACTCCTGATCTGTTTCAATTCCACACGGAAATAAATGACTAAATCTATGTCATTAATTTAATGAAATAAATATAAACGCGTAATACCTTAATTTGCGTTCAAAATAAGCTATAATGAGTGAAAAGACTGTTTTGGAAAACAGCCTGTGATGCTCCGAAATATACGTCTAATACTAGTTTTTGGCCCACGACTTCGTTCTTGGAAAATTTAATAAAACTTTGCTTAACTAATTGCAATCTTGTCTTTTATTTCTATTATATGCTGCCTTTGCTAATAATTTTCTCCATTTAGTTAAAAGAAATGCGAAATTTAATGAAACACTTTAACGCCACCTATATTCAAATTATATAACTAGAACTATTTTTAGATCTCCATTTACACTCTGCAATTTATATTTTTGCGTCAAAAAGATGCCTATTTGCTGCAGCTTGATAAAAAATATTTTCATACCAAAATGTATTAAAATTTAACATATGCCTTTATAGTATTAGTTGGAATTTGCAATAAATATCATATTGTTGCAGACATGAATTGGTCGGAAATTACGTTTTTGCTTGTAATTTTTAATTTCGCACCAAAGGCTTGACGTTTTTTGTGACGTCAATTGCAAACTATACAATTATTGGATAAAACCTGAAAAACAACATCCAATCTAAATTAAAGTACAATCGAGTTGCCCGTGGCTGGTATTCCTCTCAACACCAAACTGAGGCCGATCTGGGATGTGACGTCAGGTTTGAGTTGTTCGCTTTGATTGGTGTTCTATACATCTCGGAGGTTTTCTGAAGTTTGCAGTTTAATTTTCTTAAACAAATCATATTGCACTACATTTATAATATAAAAATGAATTGCAAAATCTGTTGGTAAGCGCATAACTCAACAACTCCAAGACCAATTTGGCCAATTCTTGTTTTTTAAATGTGTGTTGAAGTCCAAGGATGGTTTTTACGGCGAGAAAACTTCGAATAATTGCCGGGAAAACAGCCCTTTTCTATAGTTGGCATTGGGATTCAATCATAGTTATAGTTAAATAGTTGAATCCGAGATGACGCGCTGAAGTGCATTTTTAGCCATTCTTTATACAATTAATTTCTTCAAAATAAAATTACTAATCTTATTGATAGAATTGACACATACTATGTCTAGAACAAGAGAGTAAAAACGAATTACATTTTTATTAAACACTACCGGGCCGACGTCGCGGGCAAAAGCTAGTTTTATATATATTTTTAACAATTTCTCAGTTTCTATTTTGTTTTCTCAAAATTTTATTTTTGCAACAAAAAGTAGTCTCCCTATTAAGTTTCCCAAAATCCAGACTATCTAAAATTTATTAAAATTTGTTCAATGGTTTATACTCGTACGTGAGTGCATGTTGAATATTCCATTACATATTCCTATTCTTTTCTTTTCATATAAGTTTCCTAAAAGAAACATTATCTTTGTGGTTAGTTCAATAGTAAAATATAATTCTCAAAATAATACTTGCGAACCGGAATGAAATCAATAAAACGTGAAATTTCAGATGTGTGCGACGATCCGACGAGAGTGCTACAGATGTTGCGCACCATCAACGTGCCAATAATCGGATCGCTGGAGGCGGATATCTGCTCGCCGGCGCATTTTCTCGCCGACTATTTCAACGCGACGCTTATCACGTGGAACTGTCCCCAGGTACGAATAAAAATACGATACGACTCGTCTTGTGTGCATTAGTGCGTCTTAATCTCGCATGATTTACGATGCGGGGGCGAGTAATACATGCGGAAATGATTTATTCGCATCATAAAACAGAGACTTAACCCGACTTCATCGTGGAAAACTCATGAACATGATGTTTAATAAATCGTTCCCCATCTGGACACGATCGTAACAAACAAATTACACGTGAAATAAACTTTTCTAATAAACGTATCAAGAAAAATATTATAAAATTTCTAGGTTATATTATGAATATTTTTGATATTTTTCTCAAATTTAATTAATTTAATAAGTTTACAGAAGTAATAAATGTCGATTTAACGACTTGAATAAACACTAAAATAAAAATACAGCAGACTTAAATTGCGTACGGTAATAAAATGTAAAACTGCCCTCTGCTCGGTTCATAAACTTTTTTTTATATATTATATAAACGTTCCATGTGTCGTTTTACACAACGATTCCATTTCGCATCTGCGAACGCAGCGTAATCCGCTTTTTCGCATGCATTGGGGGTGCGCTCGTTGAATTTCCTCCACTTTTACCACGCATCATTTGACGTATACGAATCAGACAAGCAAGCAAACCAAGCTAACTTCAATTTTAAATTCACTCATCGCTCGCGCTCTTATTTCCTGCGCATTTTTCCACAATTCAATATCGCGTCGCGCTCGTCGCACTTTATTGCGATTGAATAACGCGTCGTAATTTCGGTTGTGATTACTGGAGGAGATATTGCATTACGGAGATCGATCATTTGGCGCATGTGGAATTGAATTGAAAAATTGATAACGTTAGCTATTTCCGGATTAATGCGTTTGTTTATGCGTTTATTGAGCGCAATCTGTATTTGTGTATGGTAATATGATTTCACCAGTGGCGTGTGACAAGTAGAGGCTAGAGAATTGGGACAAATTCAACAAGTAAATGCAGCGGGTCACATTTTGTAGCGATTTATGAGTGGGATATAAATTGGAAATGAATAAAAATGGTTTAAAATGTTATTATCAGTTTTTATAGGAAATACATCAATGAGAGTGGTTTTTTTTACTGTGGTCCATATTTATGTTCAATCAAAATAAAATCGTTAGATATTTGCGTAACTCTTGAGTTTTGAACGTAATAATGATTTTAAAGAATGAAATAAAACTACTATTTTATAATAAAGATTAATAAATTCTCTTCAATTTTGATTCTATAATTTTTAGTCGAAGAACCAAAAATAACAAAGTTATTAACACAAAATAGGAAAAAATTTCAAAACAAATTTTCTTTTGATCGTTATCATTTTTTTCTGATTAGTTTAATCAAAATTGACATTATAGCATTTTGATAAAAGATTCTTCAAGTAATAATTCCTATTTATTAGATTAAATAAGATAAATATATTTTAATCAAATGCCAAAAAAATATATCTGTATTAAAATTATTCAGAATCCCCAAATGAAATGTTTCCCGTGAATAATTTTGAATCACCATATCCACAGTTCCGCTATTAGCATGCATTGGTTTGTATAAATGGTTGAACTGGGCCGCACAACGCGAATCAGTCATGACAGCCCCATCCGCCGCGATATTCCAATACGAGTTAGCCTGTTGGGTGTGCCGATTGCGTGGGTGCAATGGTCGTGTGCAATACAGGGCGCACTAGGCTGACAACGCGCCGGCCGCCGCTCCCTGTCGGCGCTATCTCGTTCGCACCAGTCACGCCGCCGCTGGTACATCACATTCACATATTTCAAATCGCACTTTATTATGTTCTGCGTGACACATATGTCCGGGAGTCGCTTCTGGCGCGGCGTATTCGTTGAATGGGAGCGTGTTGCTGGAGTCAGATAATGCGCTTTGCTCGTTTGCTCGAGCTTCATACAGCTTCCAGACTTGGTGTGACTTCTGGTGCCACTTGAGGTTGTATTGAAAATCGGATTTATCGGATATTTTCATCATGTTCTGCTAACTTGCGTAAAGTGTTTAATTTGAAACATTTCATCTTCAAAAATGAAATTATAATTGGTTTATCGACGTGTAAAGTCTTATTGGTCATTTTAAAATTTAGTTTCTAAGTGGTTAATATTAACAAACAACATAACCTAATCCAATAATTAAGAATCTTGTTGGCGGAGATTATAGATCTAAGGAACTAGAAATTAAATACATAGTATGATTACTTTTTCTATAAAAAGGAAAGTAAAGAAAAGAACTACTACCCTGTTATTTTGTTATACCAATTTAAATATGCTTTTAGCCAAAAACTTGATAAACGAATCTTGAAACTGTTTTTCTTGAAATTAACATCTGGCAACCAACCATACACCAGCTGATCAACACTGTTGCCAAATCTTACTTTCATGAAAACTTTCACCAATCCTAGTACGAATTAACTTTGAAACACAATCATTGTCAAGTCACGAAATGCGGGATATAATCACGACACTGTTTATAACTGCATTAACAAATTATGTATTACCATCAGACAAATTTCCGAATGCCGCGTTCCACCGACGGAATGAAAACCGGCATCCACAAGTGCGGTTCGGTGACGCACACACTGTCACACACATTTCCGCTCGTAATCTCGCGGAGATTAAATTATTAGGTGTGCAAATTTATGTTTGCTATGAATTCGCACCCGCCATCACTTCTGGCCGCCGACACGGCTGGCGCTCATCCCAGTTCAAACGTAATTGATTGTCAATTAAATTATCAGCGCGCAAAGTTGATAATCAACTCGGGGCGCCGAGCACGCTTTATTACTATCAGCAAACGCATCGCGCAAAATGCTAGGAAATTAGATAAATGAGTTAAAGACTTTTACGAACAATTAATCATCTTCAACTTTGTATGTTTTTTAGAAGTTATACTATAACGAGGTAATGAAAATCAGAATCTGGGGAAAAATGGGATTATCTTACATTTTAGTTATAAAAGGTCATGTTTGAAAGCGTATTTTAGACAATTTTAAGTCATTTACACCAAAATACAAATTACATGTTATTGATTAATTTTTTTGCTGAATTTATTTTAAGTTGAACGTGAATTGAATTACATTTGTTTTGAGTATACATTTTTCGCCTCGATATTAAAAAAAAAATAGTAAAAACTTTGCGTATTCAATGTATAATCAGTTTTGTTTAAAACTAATTATAGAGTAAAATAAAGTCATACATAATGTATCAGCTCCAATCAAACATTTTGCTAAAAATCAAAATAAAATATCAAGTTAAATATCTTTTAATAAATTTTGAATAAATCATGATGCTTGAGTAAATAAATGAAATTATAAGGTAGAACTGTCGTAGAATTGTAGTTAAATAAAGTTTTACCCTGAATGCACTTTATACTATCTATTAAAACATATAAAAAGCAAATTATAATTCCGCCATGAATGAAATGTGAAATGATCATTGATTGCGAATTGAAATGGCAGCAATCGCTGGCAATTTCGACGCGAAAGGTATGCGAAGTGATTGGAATGCGAGGAACATCGTCGACTAGCACGCCAATAGTATTAATGCTAATACTGTGTGTTTTTCCAACAGGAAATCGAAGAACCGCCGCCGCCGTCGCAGCTCGCCGCGAGGACGACGCGCAATCTGGGCGCGAGCATTCCGCTGATCGCACGCCGTTTCTCCCGTCTAATAACATACATGAAATGGAAATCGATCGCCATTATATCCACAAGTAAGTGTGCCGCGTGTTTGCTGTGCCGCGCACTTTATAAAAGCTTTTTGCTTAATTTATTTCCCGACGACGCCGGCGTTACTTTCCATCTATATGCATGCATATTATTTGTGTTGTTTGGCTGCGCCGTGGAAAAAGACATCGGGAATATATCGCGTTTAAATCCAGCCAAATTTATGCAAACGCGTTTTACATAAACACACCGGTGTGCGAATTTGCAAATGGAGCGCTGTATTTTTACGCTGAAAATTCTATTTTAATTGAATTTCATTCTTACACTGATTTTTTATCATCATTCTTCTAAAAATAAACTTTTGCTTTGCACAATAAACGAAAGTATCACTTAAAGTACACAATAGTAGAGTAGTTAACTTTTGTGCAACTTTTTTTTGTACGGTGCTTAAAACTTTTATTTCGACTCATTAAAATTGTAAAAACTTTCCGTGAAGACGCAATCAGTTACTTTTCACTTATTAAATCCCAAGAACCTTAAGGTTCAAATTGAAAACTTCCATTGTGCGCACTTACCTCCAGCTGAAAAAGTTTTCAAAGCGCTGTAATATTTATCGACGCCTTTTATCGACTTCTACCGCAATAACAATAGGGAATGAAATCCATTATGATTATAATCTCACAATTTAATTTTAATACATTTAATATTTTAATATGTGCGGAATTCAACACATAAATCACCTACACCACCATTTGAATTATCATCTATCCAAGCTCGAATTCGCGATGAAAGTAAAAATTATTACTCGGCGCAAAAAACACATAAACTAGTCAGTCGGTGAGCCGCCTCCCAGCGTGATGTATCTACAATTTGCACAAAACAGAAACAGCGCTAACAGAATGATTGTAAAGCTGTGTTATCTGCCTGTGTCGTGATTTTCACAGCGCACAGCAGGTTGGTTTTGTTTCGCTCACGTTTAGTACCTGTGTTCATTGTGAGGCAGTGCCGGGTGGATACGGTTATTAAAGTAGCCATGTTGGCGCGTGCGCTGTAAGGAAGCATTAAGAAAATTGCACGCGGCGCAACGTAGTAAATCTTGAAATGAAATGGAGAAGGCTGGGCAAAGGCAAGGGCAATGTATCAAAGGATTGGTCGCATAAATCATTAAAAATGAAATCAGATTTTTATATAGATAGTACTCATCACGTAAAAGCATATTTTTTGTAAAAGAAACATCGTTTTATATCTAATTATAAATCTTATCCTAGCTAGTTCTATAAGTACGGTAGTTTGTATGTTTGTGACGCTTTAACGCAAACATTCTTAAACTAGTTTTAATAAATTTTAGTATAGAAATATTTTGGTTTAATGAAAAATGAGTGAACTACTTTTTGACGCCATTATATTTATCTATAATATAAAAATGAATCGCAAAATCTGTTGGAAAGCGCATAACTCAACAACGCCTATACCAATTTGGCCAATTCTTTTTTTTAAATGTGCGTTAAAGTCCAAGGATGGTTTTTACGACAAGAAAAAATCGAATAATTACCGGGAAAACTCTAAAGACAGCCCTTTTCTTTGGGATAAAAGTTGGCATTGAAATTCAATCATAGTTATAGTTAAATAGTTGAATCCGAGATGGCACGCTAAAATGCATTATTGGCAATTCTTTATATTATAATTAATTTCTTTAAAATAAATTTTTTGCATATCATTTTTATTAAATACTACCGGGACGAAGTCGCGGACAAAAGCTAGTAAAATAATATATATTTTCAGTGCAAAGATTTAATTATAATTTTAGTTGTCTCATTTATATTGAGATGAAGATAAGGTGCGTAATTAGCATTTCTAATTTCCTTAAATTAAAATTGAGACTCATTATATGCCCAAGAAGCAGGAACGTAATTTGTTTGTCTACTAAATACTACTAATTTTTGCGAACAAAGTTAAGGGGAAGAGCTAATAATAAATATTTTCTACTTCTACCTGTAAAACGCCAGTATTTTTACTTGGAATAAACAACACACTTTATGTCATTTAACAACAATAAACAACAACCGCAAAATATAAAAAAACTACTAAAATTTAAATTAAAAGATGTAATTATTCGGATTTAAATAAATTATATAAATTAAACTAAATATTAAAATAATTTGCAAAAATAATATTATATTTATGTATCTATGTCACGTGTTTCACTCTAATTGTGATAACGATGCACCTAGTTATTGGGATTCCAGTAATAGGCAAGTTGTGCAATAGATATTCCAAGTAGCATCATTAAATGACGGCATTGACGTGTCGTGGAAATCTGCTCCAGACATACGAGCAAATTTGGAGAATTACGTAGATGCGCCCGAATGGGGTTCATTAAAAAGGACACCCGAGTTGCCACCTGACTTCGACCACAGTTACTCTCTCACGTTGCCACCACTCTTCACCCGCTAACAACCTCAGAGTCCTTACATCATTCGAACCAATATTCTCGACTCCAACTTTGCATCACCTTCCTAATTCACTAACTCAAAACTCACATAACATTTTATATGTAATCTACAACAATACAGATTTGGATTTTAATTTAAACTTAAACAAATACAAGAAAGATTTTAAGCGAGTGAACGTAGGTATTAAATTTTGCATACATTGGGTCTACATGTTTATGATTACACCGCGGGAGGATTATTAAGTAGACCGCACAGGACGCCGGAATGTTGTAAAGTAGGGATAAGCCGTCCGCTCGTCGGACGAATTCTTCTTTATCCCGTGATGGTTTCCCGGCGCGTCCACCGAGTTGTACGCGTCGGGGTTTTAAATCTACTTTTCTGCTGCGGAGACTTCTCGGGATGATTTTATGGAAAGTGATGAAAGACTAATACACTGTTGATGCTTCTTTTTTTTTCTATATATATATATTGTTTTGAACAACAGAAAATATTAATATTTAAAAATATGAAAAAGTTTCAAAACTAAAAAGAAAATTAAACACTAATAAAATCAGGCAGAAAATAGTTGATTTAAAATATAAAAACATTTATTCCAATTTATTTTGCAATATACATTATTATACAATACATTTTAATGCATTTCATAGGAAAGAATGTTAAATAATTCTGGGATATTTATATATGGTGCATTTTTAACTAAATTGAACATTATTTGATTTTTACATCTCTTCAGAAATGTGATCATAAGGTTTCTTTTTGTTTTCATTATATTTATTTCAAAACTTTTTTATTTCTTTTTTTATCAAATATCCAATCTTGCAAAATGAGAGTTCCTTTAAACTATATAAACGCAAAAAAACGATCAAACTGCCGTTTTACCATTTTACAAATACCCAGTGTAACCTAATAATAAAAGAACAACAAAAAATAAAAAAAAAATAGATTTAAATTTTTTTCAAATTCTTTGGTTTCTCTTGCATAATTTAGTTACACAAACGTATTACAAAAGTATTAAAAATGTAATGTAAGATAAAGTTAAGACAGGTATTCCTTTATTTTTTATCCTTAGATGTCTTTCATTTAATTTTAATTAATTTAAATTAAAATGAAATCAGGAATTACTGGTAGTGGCATTCAAATTGTACCATTAATACAAAATATCTCATATCCCACATCTCAGATCTCAGATCTCAGCAGACGTGGAAAATGTTAGAAACGTTTGGAATGTACGTTTGTTAGCTTTGATCCCAAACAGCCGACCACGCAGCCCTAAATTTCCGCCTCGTACCGCAGTTGGAAGAATGCGGGTCGGGTTTTGTGCTAAACGTCGGTTTATAATCAGCGAACGCTGCGCAGCATAATGTTTTTCTTGTTTTCGTTTCCTTCGCAAATGTTCCAAAGCAGAAAACTTACATTATTAATAAGCCAGCATTGGCTTTTCGAAACGCATACCATAACATTTTTGTTAACCGCACTAATTTCTATGTAAATACCGTCAAACAAAAAAGATGTAACGTTTAATATTTATGTTTTTCATCCGCTGAGAGTATTAAATTTACATAACATTATGTTCAATCTGAATTTAATTGTTAGGCCCGTAGGGTGAAATGTTTCAAATTTCCAAACCAAAACTGAAACAAATGATCTTAAAATTTTAAATCGTCGAGAATAAATATGTTTCCATAAAGCATCTAATAAAAAACTAAAACGCGTTGGTGCTGTGTGTGATGGAGAATTATTCCAGGCTCGAGTGTATTTTCTCCCTCGAGCCGGTCGTGCCCAGCTTTCATGAGCAGTCTGTCGAGTGTTTAAAAAAATCACTTGAAGCATTACATGTTCAAGCCAGAGTATTCCGATACATTTCAGTCTATCTACATGTTATTATGCAAAGCAAACGCATGACATGTTTTTTCGTTATGTTACACAGAAGAGTATTACCTTCATTATACATAAAAGCAGCTTTTATGCAAGTATTTTTAATTAATATGCAGAAATGATACCCGCACGGCTGTACGGTTAGTTTTAATGGTTAGTTAACGAGAAAATATGAATAAATACACGCGTTGGGATAGAAATGGTGCGCCGTGAGCGGAAGCGGAAGCGCATGGCGGTAGGAAAATGCGCGTAATGCGCTCGGATGCGACCGAAAGCTAGAAGTAAAGCCCGCGAGCTGGCTGAAGAGGAAATGAAATAATCAAAGCGAATGTTCCAGGCGCAGGTGGACTTAATGAGAAAAGTCCGTTTTTCATTGAGTTTTAATTGGTCATGTTTAAGACTTATCTAATTATCGCTTTAATATAATATGCTTATTTTATTATGCATGTAATCACGCATTAAATAAACATTTTTATATATAATTTACCTTTGAGAGTTGATTAGCATTTTTTTCTTTTTGAAAATCTGTCTGAATTTGTTTACTCACGAAGGTCGAGAGCGTCATGAATGATTGATGGTGTGTATAAAGCGTAAACGCATTACGATATTACCATATTAAATATAAAGGTAAATATTACATCAAAACCGACAAATGTTCATTTGAGTTGAGATTTTTTTTCTCATATCGCACGCACCGGAGATCTTTTGACTGCCGTTTT